CCCACATGAACGGATGATGTGTATGTTTATTAATGTAACAGGTTTAGATGTATTGTCTATCTTATGTACAAACTACTAATTTGTTACTATCTTTTTCAGGAATCATGGCCTCCTTTATGAAGAGAAAACGCTGTGAAGACTGTGGAAACTCTTTTTCCTCTTCTTCTAATTACAAGCGACACAAAGGCACTTGTCCGAGTACAGAACCTGAACCTGCATCTCAAGACAGCTCTGACGATGATGAAGAGGTATACTTTGATGAAGATGAGATTGACGATCTGCTTCAGAGTTTTCAACCGAGAAAACCTCAGCAAGCTGAATCCTCTCAACCTGCCTCACCGGAAGTGAAACCATTTTTTAAGGCACTCATCTTATGGACATGTTTCTTCCTCTGCATTTGGCAGTCTGTATTTTATATTTCCTCAAATGCCATCGCATTCCTTCTGAAATACCTTCATGCCCTTCTCGCCGTTGCCGCTCAGCATTACAAGTTCCTTGCTGTTGTAGTACCGATGTTCCCAAGTACTATTTTCCTGCTCAAGAAATTACTCAGAATTGACGACAATAACTTTTTCCACTATGTTGTATGCCCAGCATGCTGTAGCATATATAGATATTCTGACTGTATTTCTGTTTTCGAAGGAGAAGAAGTCAGTATGACTTGTTCAAACGTCTCCCAACCTAATCACCCAATGAGACATTATCGCCAGCCTTGTGGTGCACAACTGTTACAAAGTATGACCCTTTCCTCTGGCAAGAAGAAGCTTGTACCACATAAGAACTATTATTTTAAATCTCTGAAAGATTCACTTTTTAACTTTTTGTCAAGACCAGGTTTTGAGGAGAAATGTGAACAATGGCGTGACAGGGTCGTTAGTGATGGTACTTTGCATGACGTGTATGATGGTCGTATCTGGAAGAGCTTCAGTGGGACATATTTGAAGAAGAAGAGAAACTATGGCCTTATGCTTAATTTAGACTGGTTTCAGCCATTCAAACACGTCAAATACTCTGTAGGTGTAATGTATTTAGTCATCCTCAATCTACCTCGAGAAGAACGTTACAAACGTGAGAATGTTATCATTGTTGGTATTATACCGCACATGAAGAAAGAACCCCCTACAAACAGTTTTGTACAACCTTTAGTTGATGAGCTTCTTGAAGCATGGACAGTAGGTTTTTCATTCAACTCTAAGATATTTCGCTTGGCCTTAATGTGCATTGGATGTGATATCCCTGCTTGCCGAAAGTTATGTGGCTTTCTGGGACATGCAGCCGTCAAAGGGTGTTCTCGGTGCAAGAAGTCTTTTCCTGGTGAATTCGGCAAAAGAGACTACAGTGGTTTTGACAGAACTCAGTGGATACCTCGCACCCATGAAAAGCATATACGAGAAATTAGACACATCACAAGTGCCAGAACCAAGACAGATAGAGAAGCACTTGCGAGTTCGTATGGAACAAGATACTCCGTCTTGTCTGAGCTGCCATACCTTGATCTGATCAAAATGTCTGTTGTGGACCCTATGCACAATTTGTTTCTGGGGACATCAAAACACATGTTGCATGTATGGAGAGACACTGGTGTACTAACTGACAAGAACTTAGACACTATCCAAGCAAAGGTGGATGCAGTTAACTGTCCAAGTGACATTGGTCGCATCCCACATAAGATTTCCTCCGGTTTTGCAGGGTTTAGTGCAGACCAGTTTAAAAACTGGACGTTACTGTTTTCTGTGTATGCACTGAAGGATGTTATTTCTGATGATCATTTAGAATGTTGGCGAAATTTTGTATTGGCCTGTAGATATTTGTGTTGCCGAGTATTAACTGAAAATGACATAAAAATGGCAGATTTATTACTGATGCGCTTCTGTGAGAATTTTGAGCGATTATATGGCCGTGACAGAGTTACCCCTAACATGCACTTGCATGGTCATCTGATTGAGTGTGTTCAGGACTTTGGACCCATTTACTCGTTTTGGCTGTTCAGTTTTGAACGGTTTAATGGTATGCTGGGCGACTACACAACTAACAAGAAAAGCGTAGAACTGCAGCTGATGAGACGTTTCGTAAGCCATTCTCATCTCCTTGGATTGGTCTTAGATGACGAGTTTCACTTTGGAGACACCCTTGAGCCGATCATCGCCACTGTTACAGCTAACATTAAAGTGGGTACTCTTGGCAAGATTAATTCAAGTGAATGCTTGCAGCTCCGACAGATGTCATCCCGACTTCATCACATTGAAAACCTTCAGTGGACTGACATTGACAGGTTCATTTTTTCAAAATATAAAGTCCGTGGCCTCACTGAAAATGATGAACACTCCCTTCAAGAAATGTACAGAGCCCTCTATGGCGAAACAGTCGAGACTTTGCCGGCCGTTAGGGAAATAAAAACTCTATACCTTGGATCAGAAGTCTTTGGATCTGCCAAGTCTCAAAGTGTGAGATCTTCTTACATCACTGCCTACTGGACAGACGGGGACGGGAAAATTGGTTGGGGGGTTTCTCCGAGACCTGGAAAGGTATTGAGATACCTTCAGCACTCAGCAAGAGTTGACGGCATAGAGAAGAGACACATCCTTGCAGAAGTTCAATGGTATCGGGAACTTGAAGATAAACTAAAAAACCATTGTGGCCGACCAGTGGAAGCCTGGCACTCTTCCATGTATGTTGACTCTGGTCCATCTTCGTTTATGCCCATTCAACGAATTAAGGGTAAATTCGTCAAAATTGAGGGACAAATAGGTACCAGGACAGTTACATTTGTGTCACCAAGGGACAGATTTGTGTGTGTGTAATTTATTGGTTTATTGTTGTTGTAAAGTTTTGCTTTAAATAGAAATTTTAATTGTACATTCTATATTTTAGTTCTTGTATGTGTATTATTGTAGATATAATTGTATACATGTATGATCATTACCCAGTGATGTGCCCAAGTGTTATTTATTGTACATATACCTTGAACTATGACATGATATCCTGAATATAAATTCACGTTCATCCTGTGTTTTGTATTTTTGTTATTTCTGCATGGCTTGGTGAAATGTAAGATTTGGAATGAACACCTCGACAGCAGTTTAGTTATAATGCTATCAATTTATGGATTAGTTCTGAGAAACAGAGAGGGAAACAGCCATATATAACAGGGTACCAATCCGGTGTTCAATCGCATCGCCATGTCTGATAAAGGTATATTCGATTTGTAAAATAGCACTAGTAAAACCACGATGCCTCTCTTGTGGTGGTGTACATCCTGTGATAAATTTCAAATCATTTATGGTGCTAAGTTCATATTACAAAATATTTGAACAAAGCGCAACAACAAACTGAGAACCAGAAGAAGCACCAGTAGAAACATAATTCTTAATTTATTGAGGCTTACATCTTTTATGTGAGCTTGTTAAACAACCAAGAGAAATTCCCCCGCTTCGCTATATACAAATTCAATAAAAAATCTACCCTCAGTGACCTTTATTTTGCATCTTTGAATTAAAATCATGATGTGTTGCGATATCTAAATATTGCCAAAATATATGATGGCCATAAGTATGATACACTTATGTAACGTATTACAGATGAAATGTTTTCATCGACAAATGAGCTTGGTGACATAAAATCAAATATGTAGACATATAAGTCCACCATGTTCCGTTATACAAGCCTACGAACTGAAAGAAGCGGCAATAAAACCATGATGTGTTGCCAACACATCCTAACATTTGAAAAGTATCTAATGGGGTATTTTATGAAAGCATTCGTTTGAAGCTTTAAGCCAAAGATGCACTTGAAAGAGTGCATTACCGACGTAATAATAATCTCAAGTGCACTCAAGTTGAAGAAGCGGCAGTAAATTCTTGATGTGTTGCACCGTCAAATACATTTATAAACAGTATTATGTATTCAACTAAAGCGTTGGGATAGAATATTGCAGCAAATCCACTTTGGAAACGATCTGAACAGCTTAACCAGCAGACAGAAGAAGCAGACATAAAATCACCTATGTATTCAAACATTTCCAAACAAATCCAAACAAATCCAAACATTTCCAAACATTTCCAAACATTTCCAAGCTTGGAAATATGACCTTTCCAAATTTTGGAATGGTCATATTTCCAATTGGAATGACGGTATTTCCAAGTTTTGGAAATGTTGGAATGGATGATATTTTGTCCAGTGGGTGGATGGATAGATGGATGGATGGATTGATTGATGGATGGATGGGTGGATGAATGGATGGAAGGATGTATCGGTGGTGATGTTGGATGGATAGATAGATGATGGATTATGGATAGATTGCTGATTTATTTCATTATACGGGCTCTTAACCAATTGTAATGTTAATAGTGAGTGAGTTGGGGTTTAACGCCGCTTTTAACAGTATTCCAGTTATATCACAGCGTGTCAGCTTAATGTGGGAGGAAAGCCCGAAGTCATGCAGGTCTCAGACGTTTACCACGTCCGTGAAATCCACGAGCACGGTATGGTGCTGACAAACCTAGAAACATAATCGGGGCGAACCGGGATTCGAACCCACAATCATAGGTTTCTGGCGTGTTCAAGGGTAGCAAATCTGCACAGCGAAAGACGTTAAAAGATGGTACTTGTTGTTACCCTGTCTGACGCTCGGCATTAAGGGACTAATCGGAGTAAGTATACTGTGTCTGAGTGGGGTTTTCATGTTATGTTACATTGCGACATGGTATCTCAGTAGGCTAGCACTATAAAATTGGCATTAGTCCGTACTAGTACAAGCAGAAACACACACACACACACACACACACACACACACACACACACACACACACACAAACAAGCACACGCGTGAATGCACGTCGCTATAAAACGTGCAATAATCTTGAACGCGACCTTAAACCCCATTTCACCCCCACCTCACCCCACATCCTCCATATTAACTCAGTTATAACCAGTTTTTATAAAATATATTTCAGAGTGGACCTATTATATAATAAATAAACCAAATACACAATTCTCCGTACATTTGTCGTAGACTCCCGTTGTAGTAGGCCTAGTTGTAGTCGTAGAAGTTGTAGTAGTTGTTGATGGTGTAGTTATCGTTGACGTTGTAGGACCTACTGTTTGGCCGGGGACGACAGGCGTGCCAATAGCTGTCATGTTCGTTATCCCTTTCTTCATAGAACAGAATTCATTGTTACAGTTGCTCCGCTCGTCACAGCAACCCCGACACAACTCGTAGCGCTTCACCACGTGGCGTCGACCAAATGGTAAGTGATGTCCAATCGCCTCACATACCTACATAAACAGTGCGTCATATGTTTAGCATTCAGTTGAAAAGCCCATTCAAGTATTAATACCAGTAAAACAAAGTTGAGAACCACTCGATTCTTTCATATTAAGGAACGACCATTTGATATTCGGGAGTGAGGGGATTTTGATGGGATTTTGCTCCAAGACTGGGTATATTTCAGCTGCAGCAAATGGACAATATATAAGCTTATAATATATATATACTTATTAATTAAAACTTTGAGTCCAAATGTTTCTTTTTAAAATAAGTGTTAAGTGTCAGGTAATGTCTTTTTTGTCATCAGTTTGAAGCACAGTTATTGTTTTCAAGAATCTTCTGCGACAATTTTTTGTGGGTAAAAATCCAGACGGGTTAGATGTAGTAATCTGAAATAATCGGAGGGTCCTCAACTTTTTTGGAGTAGTATATTATCTTTATCGACCAAGATACGCGGGTTGTTAAAAAAACGTAAACAAGTACCTATTTAACAATGAATAAAAAAAATTAAAAATTATAAAACTAATTTGTCTCTGGAAAATACTTGAAAAATCCATATCCACTCTAATCCCCATAGGTGAGGTGAGGTGAGGTGAAATTGGGTTTAACGTCGCGTCCAAGATTATTGCACTTATATAGCGACGTGCATGCACGTGTATGTGTGTGTGTGGCTGCTTGTACTAGTCCGGACTGATGCCGATTTATAGTGCTAGCTCACTGATATACCATGCCGCAGTTTAACATGAATACCCCACTCAGACACAGTATACTGACTCCGACCAGTCCTTGTTATAGCCCCTTAATGCCGAGCGCCAGACAGGGTAACAACAAGTACAATCTTTTAACGTCTTTTTGTATGGCGCGGCCCGGGATCGAACCCTGGACCTTCCGCTCTCCGGGCGGACGCTCTACCACAAGACCACGGAGGCGGTCTAATCCCCATAGACTCTTAATAGGGTGATATAAAAGTTGATTCAAGAAGTTTGAGAGAGGATGACAATGATTGGGGACCAAGTTTTACAAACAATTATTCACTGGATATAAATACCGAATGCCGTGAAGTTATATATTAACGTCGTTTAAGTTTATTGATCTTACAAAGCGCTGCTTGTTCTAGTCCGTCTGATGCCGGTTTAAAGCGCCAGCCCTTTGGGATACCTTACCCTACTCAGACACAGTATACTGACTTCAAACCTCCAGGTCTTTGTTCCCCTTAATGCCGAGTGCCAGGCAACAGTAAGTACCACATTTTAACGTCGTCTTTTGGTATGACGCGGCCGGGGATCGAACTTCCGACCTTCCGCTCTCAGACAAGACGCGCTATTCACTAGAACATGGAGGAGGCGAGGGGATCGAACCACCGACCTTCCACACTCTCTGGGTGGACGCTCTACCTACTAGACCACGGAGGCTAGTCAGGAGTTAGAAGGAATTTACTGAGTGCGCATCCAGATGTTTGACCTAACCTGTCGTGGAAGACAGCCCATGTCAAAGGTCACTCCCCCAACGTCGCTGATCTTCTCGTGTGTTTGGCACACCTGTATGACAACAATGACAAGCTGTTACGTTTGCAAATATTCAGGTAATAAAGTAAAAATGTCAAAACTTAGTTAGATCAAGTTTATTTACAATTACCTGTGTATGATATATGTGAATAATAAGGAGAATAAAAACAGGTTCTATAATTGATTCGTTTTTGGCCCGATTCTTATACAGTAAATTACGGTTATAACGAAATCAAAGCGACCACTAACTTTAGTTCGTAATAACCGTAATTCGTTATAAGCATATACACAACATATATACATCAAATGGTCGGGACTAAAAAATAAGTTCGTTATTTCGGTCAGTTCGTTACAAGCGTGTTCGTTATAAACGCAGTTAACTGTATAGCTTTAAAATATTTGCTGAAACACTGCTATGATACCTCTATCAAACACATTACCATCGAATAACTATTTCTTGTTTGTTTCCTTTTCAGCCAACATAAGGGCGGTCGGGTAGCCTAGTAGTTAAAGCGTTAGCTCGTCACGCCAAAGACCCGGGTTCGATTCCCGACATGGGTACAATGTATGAAGCCCATTTCTGGTGTCCCCCGCCGTGATATTGCTGGAATATTGCTAAAAGCGGCGTAAAACCATATTCACTCACTCACTCACTCAGCCATCATAAAACATGGGTGTCTACACTCTTTTACCCGGCAGTGTATATCAAATGTATATTTGTTTGTTTGTTTGTTCTTTAACGATTCACTCGGCAATAGTCCAGCTATATGACGTCGGTCTGTAAGTAATCGAGTATGGACCAGACAATTCAGTGATTGACGTCATGAGCATCGATCCACGCAATTGGGATAAGATGACATGCATCAACCAAGTCAGCGAGCCTGACCACCCGATCCCGTTAGTCGCCTCTTACAACAAGCATAGTCGCCTTTAACGGCAAGTATTGTTTGCAAGTATTGTTTGCTGAAGACCTATTCCACCAGGATCTTCACGGGTCGCTTATGATCGAGTTGGAATCGTATGATGGTTTCTGCTCATCAGAGATGTCTCATTATGATGGAAAGGGTTTGGTCGCTTTTTTACACTTTTCATTATCATTTTTTTTAAATGGCCATTGCATGTTGACATATAAATCGAACAGAGCTGACATTTTTTTCAAGGTATCTACAGGACCTCAGGACATGTATCTGCCGGGTTGGCCATGACAAACTGTCTAAATACTCACTTCACCCACGGAACACTTGGTCGTGTGATGGCAGTCCGCTGGATCAGCGATACCCAGACAGTTGTAGCACACCATCACCCTTAATGCAGGAGCTAAAGCATACATGGGCAAATATAGGAAGGATCATACCAGACCTATATAAACATAGTTGGTACAAGGGGGCAGTGGGGAAGCCTAGTTTTTAAAGCGTTCGCTCGTCACGCCAAAGGCCGGGGTTCGATTCTCCATGTGGGGAACGGTGTGTGAAGCCAATTTCTGCTGTCCGCATCGTGATATTACTTGAATATTGCTCAACAGCGGCGTAAACCCATACCGACTAATTCACTAAAGTACTGTCGGAAATGCTAGAAAACTTACATTTTGCCCTCACTCTATGAAGGTTCATACTCCAATGAACTCACACAAAATTGCCGCGAAATGTTAAAAAACAGATGATAAATATGATTTTTAAACTACCTCATCAAGAAGGTTCGTCATGGGTAAGGTTTGAAAAAATGTACATTCATTACATTACAAGTATACTCTTCAAAAACAGGAACGCAAAGCCAGATTTGTGTGAGGTAGGAAAATACATTTATACGAGGAGCCGTACAAGTTTAGCGCTATGACAAATTAGATCAATACTATTTAATATATTTGTTACGATCTTTCCTTTATTTGTTCAATAAGAAGTGGCAAATTCAGTTTTCTATCAATTCCGACAGTAATTTTAGTCGGTACATGATAGTAATTGATGCTATTTAGTCCAGACAGTCATATTTACAGACAAACAGATGGGGAGTGACCGACATGCCACCATATCGTTAACATTCTACCTGTCTAAAAATAGTTGATACATGCTGGTAATAACTGCAGCACATCTTAGGGACTACTTGTTTTCTTAATATCAGGGGCGGTCGGGTAGCCTAGTGGTTTAAGCGTTCGCTCGTCACGCCGAAAACCCGGGTTCGATTCCCGACATGGGTATGGGTATGGGCATGGGTATGGCGGTATGTAAATAATCGAGTCTGCACCAGACAATTCAGTGACACACATCAAGAGCATCAATCTACCCAATTTGGAAACAATGACATGCTTCAACAAAGGTAGCGATCCTGACCAAATAGTCTTGCTATTACAAGCTTCGCTTGCTGAAGACCAGGGAGACACAGACATAAATAGACATTTGAGGAGAGATACACAGCGTCTTCAGGGAAATCAGTAACAGACAGACAGACAGACAAACAGGCACAGGGACAGTATCACAGGGACAGACAGACGCAAAGAAGATCAACAGACGCAGAGAGAGGAGATGGACAGAGGGGAGACAGGCAGATCAACAGACGCAGAGAGAGGAGACGGACAGAGGGCAGACAGACAGATCAACAGACGCAGAGAGAGGAGACAGACACACGGGTACGTAAACAGACGCAGATAGCAGAGATGGACAGAGGGCAGACAGGCAGATAAACAGACGCAGAAAGAGGAGATAGACAGACAGACAAAGGCAGATCAACAGACGGAGAGAGAGGAGACAGACACACGGGTACGTAAACAGACGCAGATAGCAGAGATGGACAGAGGGCAGACAGGCAGATAAACAGACGCAGAGAGAGGAGACAGACACACGGGCACATAAACAGACGCAGATAGCAGAGACGGACAGAGGGCAGACAGACAGATCAACAGACGCAGAGAGAGGAGACAGACACACGGGTACGTAAACAGACGCAGATAGCAGAGATGGACAGAGGGCAGACAGGCAGATAAACAGACGCAGAAAGAGGAGATAGACAGACAGACAAAGGCAGATCAACAGACGGAGAGAGAGGAGACAGACACACGGGTACGTAAACAGACGCAGATAGCAGAGATGGACAGAGGGCAGACAGGCAGATAAACAGACGCAGAGAGAGGAGACAGACACACGGGCACATAAACAGACGCAGATAGCAGAGACGGACAGAGGGCAGACAGACAGATCAACAGACGCAGAGAGAGGAGACAGACACACGGGTACGTAAACAGACGCAGATAGCAGAGATGGACAGAGGGCAGACAGGCAGATAAACAGACGCAGAAAGAGGAGATAGACAGACAGACAAAGGCAGATCAACAGACGGAGAGAGAGGAGACAGACACACGGGTACGTAAACAGACGCAGATAGCAGAGATGGACAGAGGGCAGACAGGCAGATAAACAGACGCAGAGAGAGGAGACAGACACACGGGCACATAAACAGACGCAGATAGCAGAGACGGACAGACGGCAGACAGACAGATCAACAGACGCAGAAAGAGGAGATAGACAGACAGACAAAGGCAGATCAACAGACGGAGAGAGAGGAAGCAGACGCAGAGGGGAGGCAGACTGACAGACGGGCAGATCAACAGACGCAGAGAGAGGAGACAGACACACGGGTACATAAACAGACGCATAGAGAGGAGACGGACGCAGGGGGGAGGCAGACAGACACACGGGCAGATAAACAGACCCAGAGAGAAGGGAAAGAGGCAACACGGGAAGACGCAGAACAATGGGAGACAGACAAACAGACATACTCAAACAGAGACAGGGTGAAAGATACAGATTTCGCGTGATACATAGATGGGAGAGAGTTTAACAGACAGACACACGTACACCCAGACATGGACACACAATGTGAGGACATATTTACAACTTACGCAGGAGATTGCCATGGTTATCAAAGTTGATGTTGCAGAAGTTGTCATAACAACATGATGTCCAGAACTCTATTTCAAACATTGGGTCCGGAGCGTCACTCAGACTGCCAATACTGTCACACAGCTGAAATGAAATGTCACAAGCATTAAAACTACCATTTCGATAACTCAGAGTATAATGCTGCATTCTATTATGATAAATACCGTTGACCCATTCTCTACCATACATATGTTTCGGAAATGACGTCACCATCTCAACCTACCGTATTAGTAACTTCGCACAGAATGTCTCTCGCTCAATGGTGTTGTTTTATTGGATGGGTGAGTGCTTGCATGCGTGAGTGCGTGTGTGTCTGCGTGTCTGCGTGTCTGCTTTCACTAGCCCGAACAAATTCCGGTTTATGTTTCTCGCCCCACTAAGATACCCTGCCGCTGTTAAACATGGATATAACATTCAGTCACACTATACTGTCTCCGAGCTGACGCATGCAGGGTAACAACAAGTACAATCTTTAAACATCTTTTGGCATGACCGGGGATCGAACCACCGTACTCCCGCCCTCCTAGCAGACGCTCTGTCCACTCGACCACGGAGTCAGTCAGTTTAGTTTAATGCATACGTTTAACACCGTATTTCAGCTATATCACAACTGTACCAAACTTCCCATTGGAAGAAAGAAGATATGGAAATCCATACGCAACCCTGTCTTCATTTATACAACTTCATTCATATCACTAACTTCATTTACAAGGAGCACGGGTTGCCCAGCCGTCTGAGGCGCCGCAATTCGCTGTGCAGAGTTACGCCCCCTGGAGCTGTGATCGTGGGTTCGAATTCCGCTTCGCCCCGATTTATTTCTAGGTTTGTCGCCGTGCTCGTGAGTTTCACCAAAGTGGTGACGTCTAAGACCTTCATTACTTCGGGATTTCCGACCGCCTCCGTGGTCTAGTGTTAGAGCGTCCGCCCGGAGAGCGGAAGATCCGGGGTTCGATCCCCAGCCGCGTCATACCAAAAGACGTGAAATGATGGTACTTGTTGTTACCCTGTCTGGCGCTCGGCATTAAGGGGCTAAAACAAGGACTGGTCGGCTCGGAGTCAGTATACTGTGTCTGAATGGGGTATTCATGTTAAACTGCGGCATGGTATCTCAGTGTGCTAGCACTATAATCGGCATCAGTCCGGACTAGTACAAGCAGCCACACAAACACACACACGTACACGCACGTCGCTATATAAGCGCAATAATCTTGGACGCGACGTTAAACCCAATTTCACCTCACCTCACCTCACTTCGGGATTTCCTCCCACGGCGTTAAGCCCAACTCACCCATTCAATCACTGTCGTATAATGAGTAGGTACTGTAAGAAACGACGACTAACAGAAGCAGTTGTCTGGGTTGTCTGTAAAATACGTTTCATTTTCCATGACAACGTTCATGTTGTTTTTTCTTTATCGGAAATCATATGAATGGTCAACACGTACCGTTTTCGCCTTGCAGTCCAGATCATATAAGTAGCGGCCAGTCTCTGTGTGGAAATATTTCCTGGTATGGCAATGCTAAACAGAACAAAACTTCAATTATTTAACATAAGCAGCATTCAGGCGCATGTTCGTGTTTGTGTAAGATGATGGGAACAGAGATTACTGAATCAGTTTCTGTCAAATGGTTCAAAAGTCGTCAAAATGTGAGTGAGTGAGTATGGTTTACGCCGCTTTTAGCAATATTCTGGCAATATCACTGCGGGGACACCAGAAATGCGCTTCACACATTGTACCAATGTCGGAAATCGAACCCGGGTCTTCAGCGTGATGAGCGAAAACTTTAACCACTAGGCTACCCGACTGCCCCAAAAGGAATCAAACGAGCGAAAGCGAGTTGGATACGTTTTGAAACAACGTGTTATAAGATATATGGTATCTGACAGACACGAGTGCAATAATCGTTTCGATTGCACGCCCTAAACGTGGCGCATTAATACATAACACAAGGGTCATTTGTGACGTCATTCGGCCTACTACCGCCCTATTGTGACCCTCCACATAAAAAAACGTTCCGATATATGTTTATTATCAGAGGATGATAAAGCAAACTAGACAATGAAAGTCTATGAACTCTCTTAAGCCATAGTTTCAACACAGACGTTGGTGAATTCGACCGAAGCACGAGTTACGTATCAATGAATTGCAATCAGGAAAGTAGTCCGTCATAATCTGACCTCAGGTCATCACCATGGAGTGGCCAATCACGGGCCTGGAATTCGATCCTACACACAGTTATCTCAAACGGGTTTCTCATTCCGGGTATGTAAGAAACGGTTTTATCCTAATACAGCGAAACACCAGAACCCCCTTCCTGACAAATCGTCAATTGAGATCAGTGGCAGCATATCCAGAAAGGTACCATCATGAGTATTGAACCGACCTATGTTCACTAAACGTCTTACTTGACATCACACGAACTCGTCAGAGTCAGTGAGTGAGTATGGTTTTACGCCGCTTTTAGCATATTCCAGCAGTATCACGGCGGGGACACCAGAAATGGGCTTCACACATAGTACCCATGTCGGGAGTCGAACCCGGGTCTTCGGCGTGACGAACGAACGCTTTAACCACTAGGCTACCCAACCGCCCCTGAAATCGTCAGAAATATTGGACAGCTATTATAAGTCACCTCTTTCGGGAAGTAATTATAAATCCAATCATTTAATACCAAATGTTGTCGAAGACACAGCATCACTTACCATATCACCAGGGCATTCGCGAACAGTGTTGCAGTCTTGCGGGTTCTCTATTCCGTGACACTGAAAGCAACGGGCTCCCCCTAAAAAGGGGTCGTGCCATTACCGTACTTCGTCTAGTTAAAGTCGTGACCCTTATTCATCTCTAATGTTCAGACAGGTGTAAAAGTAGTCACACTACATGAAAATGCTGATTTGTTAGGATGTGGAATACATTAGAAATATTTCAATTTATTACTTTTGTTTCTTTGTTTGATTAACGCCGCATTCGGCAATATTCTAGCTATATGACGGCGGTCTGTAAATAATCGAGTCTGGAACATGGGGGTATGTTCCCCTGGAATCTCCATGGGGGATGTACGTAATGTATGACACGATAATTTTAGTTATGGGACATTATTATTCAGTTAAAACTCAGAATAGTGGAACTACATGAAACACAATAACACCTACCTAGAGCCACGTCTAGGAGCCCCGCTATCAGTGTCAGAGACGCGATCACTGAAATATACAGTTGCATCGTGCACGCCAGCTTTTAGCAATATTCCTGCAATATCACTGAGGGAGTCAATTAGCTTTACATATTGTAACCATAAGGGGGATCAAACCCGGGACTTCGGGATGACGAGCGAACTCTTTAACCACTTGGGTACCCGACTTCCCCAAGTTGCTACCACATACATAATACAGTAGAATGTATTGATAAAATGCAGCAATAAAAAGAAAATGACGATATAACAGTGAAAGTTGCATTTTATTCAATCAAAAGAGGGCGCATTGTTTCTGTTATAATAACCCTGCTCAAGCACGCGCACACGCATACTCACGCACGCACACACACCTCACACACTCATGCATACACACGCCCACCCATAACACACACACAAACTCATGCATACAATCGCCCACCCATAACACACCCACTCATGCATACAAACACACACACACACGCTTCTCACACATCTCACTCACACACACATGCACACCGTCAATCACAAATACACACATCACACACTCACACTCATGCATACAAACACCCACTCACACACACCTAAGCACACACGAGCGCATGCGCGCACACACATACACCTCACGCTACACACAACCTCACCCCATCTCTCATCAGAGGATTAAAATGGTCGGTGTCATAATTGAATGAACATTGTTTCAAATAGCTTCCATACATTAAAAGGACTAGGCATAATCGGATCAACAACACACTTGAAGATTGTATTATTTTATTTTTTTAAAAACCCAGGGAAATGTACGTCAATGGATTATAGGCTAATACCAGTATATACCAAAAGGGCTGCAATAACAATGCAAAACAAACTAATGAGAAAAAAATATATAAGCCATATAAAACACCTGGGTATGACCTACCTGAACATCCATTCATGCTGACCACCTTTGTCTGGTCTGTGAACCAGTCCGTGTTCCTCGCCAGGTGTCGCGATAAGACAAGCTCGCTTATGATAAAATAGTTTCAGATAACCACCAATCGTTTGGTGTGTTTTTTGGTTTCTGATAATTTTGTTCATATTATGTCCTCCGACTATAGTGAGTGAGTGAGTTGGGTTTTATGCCGCTTTTAACAGTATTCCAGTTATATCACGGCGTGTCAGCTTAATGTGGGAGGAAAGCCCGAAGTGATGCAGGTCTCAGACGTTTACCACTTCGGTGAAACCCACGAGCATGGGTATGGTGCTGACAAACCTAGAAACATAATCGGGGCGAACCGGGATTCGAACCCACAATCATAGGTTTCTGGCGTGCCCAAGGGACGCAACTCTGCACAGCGAATCGCGGCGCCTTAGACGACTGGGCCACCCGTGCCCCCCTCCGACTATAAGAAAATGGTAGGAAAATATATATAATGGCGAAAATTATATGAGTGGATCACTAAAAATCAGATATGACATCAGACCCGTGAAGATTTGGATTAGAATAGGTCTTCAGCAACCCATTCTTGCCGTAAAAGGCGACTATGCTTGTCCATTTGAGCTGAGGCGACTAACGGGATCGGATGGTCAGACAAACAACAAACAAACAAACAAAATCGCGTCACTAGCTTATCTGGTCCACTATCACTGGGTTGTCTGGTCAAGATTCGACTGCAACAAACAAACACTTGTTTTTTATGCACATTGTGTGCTGCCGACAGATCAGGACAGACTTACCCCTTTCGGGAACATCTTATGTCATCACTGTGTTTGGTTGGTTGTTGTTTTACGTCGCACTCAGCAATATTATACGACGGAGGTCTGTAAGTAATCGAGTCTGGACCAGACAATCCAGTGATTGACATCATGAGCATCGATCCACGCAATTGGGATCAATGACATGTATCAACCAAGTCAGCGAGAGTGTCGTGTGAGTGGCGGGTGGCGTGCTTGCCCTTTTCTTGAACACCTGGTGTCACCACTTATTTCCGGTGATCCGCTCACGTTGTTTCCACTACTGTGCTGGCTTTTACGCCCAAATGGAATCTGTTTCGGTGGAGTGATTGTTTTTGGGCGTTGAGGTTTTATATTTAGATTTATACATTGCTCAAGATAGTGTTTTGGTTTGTTTGTTGTTTAACGCCGCACTCAGCAATATTCCAGCTATATGACGTCGGTCTGTAAAATAATCGAATCTGGACCAGACAATCCAGTGATTGAAATCATGAGCATCGATCCACGCAATTGGGATGCGATGACATGTATCAACCAAGTCAGCGAGCCTGACCACCCGATCCCGTTAGTCGCCTTGTACGACAAGCATAGTCGCCTTTAACGGCAAGCATGGGTTGCTGAAGACCTATTCTACCCCGGATCTTCACGGGTCGCTCAAGATAGTGAGAGTGCGCGTTTACAAAACACAACTCTACACTGCGAATATGAGTGCCAAAGCACTAGGCCATCTGTGTCCCCGGTACCTACATGAAGATAACCGACAACCATCGACTATAAAAAACTCAATAATGTACGTAACGTTTTCGAAAAAAAATTAAATGTCCGGAACTCCCTTGGCTAAGGTGATCGTAATTCCCTTACTTTAACACAAGTTTACGATCATCGTAGCACTAAGATCGCTTTGTACAACGGAGTCCAGGGCACCTTTCCACGAAGCGATCTTAGCGCTACGACTATCGTAAGCCAGTGTTAAAGCATGGGAGTTACGATCACCTTAGCGGTAAGATGGCTTTGTTGAACGGGGCCCAGGACGTGGTCGGTCCCTGATGTTGGTACCGACCTCAGTGTGACTGTATGGTGCACAAGGCCGTCATCTAAGTTGCTTGTCTCAGTTATAAACCTCTATGCTGATACTTGCCATTGAACTAAACTATATTTTCTACAGGCAGTAAGGCCGGGTTTAAGGTTTTACCTTTTCCTGGTAAGACTGGGAATAAGGATTTACTTTTTCCTGGTAAGACCGGGTATGAGGTTTTATTTTTTTCCTGGTAAGACTGGGAATAAGGTTTTCATTTTTCCTGATAAGACTGGGTATGAGGTTTTACTTTTTCCTGGTAAGACCTGGTATGAGATGTTACTTTTTCCTGGTAAGACCTGATATGTGATGTTACTTTTTCCTGGTAAGACCTGGTATGAGATGAGCAAGGAATTTCAAGGATTTTAGAAGCAGGTCGAGCAATCCACATGAACACCTGTATTCAATACGAGGATAATGGGGAAACGTTTGGCTTTAGCGCTGAGTGGGTACCTCTGTCCCAGCCGTTTAAGGCGCCGCAATTACTGCCGTCAGGCGCCTATGGTCGTAGACTCCATTCGATCCCAAATAATACATTTTGATATTTCATCATACCCGTGCTCGTGGGTGGTAAGTGCCAAGTGGTAAAGGTCCTAGACGTACATCACTATCAGCTGTCCTCCCACACCAAGCTGAAACGCCGTGATATAACAGACATGCAGTCAAAACGACATTAAGCCCAAGTAACTCACTCACTCACTCACTCACTCACTCACTCACTCGATAACCCTTAATCGCGGGACAGCACTGCGCAAAGCTTCTCTCCTTAAACGCAAGGATCAATTGATCTCGGCCTCGAATGCGTTACAATTATATATATCCGTGCCTTATAAATGCATCATACGTGCACGCGCACAGACATCATATAAACATCAACATTCACAGAATATTATGTCATATATCATGCATTATGACACATACATGAAGTAGCTAATATAATGAAACTCCGACACTAATGAAAAATACGTACATTCGGTTTGCCAACATATGAAAAACGTTAATTTGACATTCTATTTAACCACACGTTAAAGTAGGTCGGCTCCTGGCATGGTGGCACGTCATCAATCAGGCGACGTTAAGCAACGTCGGTTGCGGAGAGTCCTTGGATGGGTGACCGCAAGCCCGAAGTAATGCAGGTCTTCGACATTTGCCACGTTGGTAAAAGCCATAGGTATGGTGCTGACAGACCTAGAAACATATTCAGGGCGAACTGGGATTCGAACCCACGACACTGTGTTTCTGTTGGGCCCTGCAACCCTGCACAGTCGGCGATGGACCACAGTGTAACATTTTACCGCAGTGTTATTACATTTTACCGCAATTTATTACAATTAACCGCGTTATTACAATTCCCGCCGTAACAGGGTCACCGAGGTTTATCTTATCCAGCGACACCACAAAGGTTGATAAGAGCTCGGCAGATCAGTATGTGAAATAGGTGACCGTGGAACCGCGCCATTTTGTAATGCTTGCTTTTTAGGGTTTGTTACATGATTTTTTATATAAATATTCTATCTGACCTCGTGTTCTATAAAACAGTAGGTACGATAAACGACTACACTGAAGCTATTCGGGGGACACGGGGGGCCCAATCGTCTAAGGCGCCGCGACTCGCTGTGCAGAGTTGCGTCCCTTGGGCACGCCAGAAACCTATGATTGTGTGTTTGAAACCCGGTTCGCCCCGATTATGTTTCTAGGTTTGTCAGCAACATACCCGTGCTCGTGGGTTTCACCGAAGTGGTAAATGTCTGAAACCTGCATCACTTCGGGCTTTCCTCCCACAGCTGACACGCCGCGATTTAACTGGAATACTGTTAAAAGCAGCGTTAAACCCAACTCACTCACTCACTCACTGAAGCTATTCTATGCGTACAACCCATGACAAACTGGTCCGTTCTTCATTGTTCGCTGATACGATTGTCCACGGGGTAGGGCAACCAATATCCAATGGAATTGTGTACAATATTAGATCGACGGGTCACGAGTAGCATATGGTGTGTTATCTTACCTCACACATGAATGTCGGCTTCTGATTAGCTGAGAAACGATCTATTATTTTCGGCGGTCTGTAAATAATCGAGTTTGGATCAGACAATCCAGTGATTGACGATCCATGCAATTGAGATTGGATGACATGCATCAACCAAGACAGCAAGCCTGACCACTCGATCCTGTCAGTTGCCCCTTTCGACGAGCACAGTCGCCCTTTAGGGCAAGCGTGGGTTGCTGAAGACCTATTCTACCCGACTTCGCAGATGAACTAGGCGGATATGATTATCTTTCCTACGTGACGTTATTCGTGGACGTCCAGGGCCCCATTCCACAAAGCAATCTTTAGCTAAGGTGATCGTAACTCCCTTGGCTAAGTTGATCGTAACTCCCTTGGCTAAGGTGATCGTAACTCCCTAGGCTAAGTTGATCGTAACTCCCTTGGCTAAGGTGATCGTAACTCCCTAGGCTAAGTTGATCGTAACTCCCTTGGCTAAGGTGATCGTAACTCCCTAGGCTAAGTTGATCGTAACTCCCTTGGCTAAGTTGATCGTAACTCCCTTGGCTAAGGTGATCGTTACTCCCTTGGCTAAGTTGATCGTAACTCCCTTGGCTAAGGTGATCGTAACTCCCTTGGCTTTTACTTTTTCCTGGTGAGACCGGATATGGGTTTTTACTTTTTCCTGGTAAGACCAGGTATGAGGTTTACCTTTTCCTGGAAAGAACAGGCATGAGGTTTTACTTTTTCCTGGTAAGACCGGATGTAGGTTTTACTTTTTCTTGGTAAGACCGGATATGGGTTTTACTTTTTCCTGGTAAGACTGGTTATGAGATTTTACTTTTCCTAGTAAGACCGGGTGTAGGTTTTACTTTTCCTGGTAAGACCGGATATGTTTTTTTTCCTGGTAAGACCTGGTATGAGGTTTTACTTTTTCCTAGAAAGACCGGTTGTGAGGTTTTACTTTTTCTTGGTAAGACCGGGTATGAGGTTTTACTTTGTCCTGGTAAGATCAGGTATGAGGTTTTACTTTTTCCTGGTAGACTGGGTATGAGGTTTTACTTTTTCCCGGAAAGACTGGGTATGAAGTTTTACTTTTTAGTTGTTGTTTTTTTATCCCTGTGGCAGGTTTTTCTTGTAAGATACAGATTAGACCTCGTGTCTCAAATGTCCAATGTTCTAAAATCGAAGACTAGAATTAAAACGTTTTCATTATAGATGGGGGCGGTCGGGTAACCTTGTGGTTTAACTGTTCGCTTGTCGCGCCGAAGACCCGGGTTCGATTCCCGACATGGGTACAATGTGTGAAGCCCATTTCTGGTGACCCCCGCCGTGATATTGCCGGAATATTGCTAAAAGCGCGGCATAAAACCAAACTCACTCACTCATTCGTTATGGATGACGAGAATGGAATCACAACCTCCTACAGTCTGTAATCAGTTGCCATGCACTGGCTGAAGGTGGTACATTGAAGGTAGCATGACGCGTGTATAGAAATATTTTACGAGCGCTTCTTTAGCCTGTGGTAACGCACTTCTGTACATAATATTAAATAAATATTAATATTGTTTCTCCTCGATGTTATTCTAAATATATAAGCCTTCGGGGTCGGAATTGCCTTCGTCCAATCCCCAACAATCACGCAACTGTCTTTGTACTTTTGGAATCGGTTTGGAATCATCGACAGGGTAGGGATCTGGTTTCAAATTCGATAAGTAAATATAATGTATTTCTGCACGTTCTAAACAATATGCGTACTCCTATTTGAAGGGAAATGTCTTAGGAAGTGAATCATGCTGTATTTGTCATTAGATCACGGCTCATGGACCTGCCTGAAGTATATAAAGTGCGAAGTTAGGAAGACACTGGACCGCCTCCGAGCCGACCAGTCCTTGTTTTAGCCCCTTAATGCCGAGCGCCAGACAGGGTAACAACGAGTACCATCTTTTAACGTCTTTTGGTATGACGCGGCCGGGGATCGAACCCCGGACCTTCCGCTCTCCGGGCGGACGCTCTACCACTAGACCACGGAGGCGGTCCTATTCAGAAAGTGGTCAAATGAAACAAATGTTATTTTTGGGATAACACTTGCTTAGTAAAGTACAGATTCTTGTACTTTTTTGGTTTGAGTCCCGTCCGGGCATGACTAAAATGAAGCAGCATAGATTGCCGCAGCTATATTTCATATTGTGTTTTCGTATTCTATGAAACACAGCATAGTCTGGGAAATAATACCTACAGTAAACTACGGTTATAACGAACTCAAAGGGATCACTTATTTTTGTTCGTTATACCTGTAGTTCGTAATAACCATATTTGCAGCATATATACAGAAAATGGTCGGGACAAAAAACATAAGTTTGTTATATACGTCAATTCGGTATAAGCGTGTTCGTTAAAAGTACAAGGAAAACACGACAATGTAACATCAATGATGCAGATGAATTTAATAACAAACATCACTACAGCACTATGTCATCCATGTCAACGTCTGGGCAGAATACATCGGTTACTCTTGGTTATCTTGATGACAACATTTCAGACTATTAAAGCAGCATCTTAGCCATAGGCCCGAGGAAAACCTCGAATTCTTCATCTTGAAAGTACTGCAAAAGACAAGTAAACGATGTTAGAGGGAGTAAGTGGGTGAGTGAGCTGGGTTTAACGCCGCTTTTAACACGGCGTGTCACTTTAATGTGGGAGGAAAGCCTGAAGTGATGCAAGTCGTAGACGTTTACAACTTCGGTGAAACCCACGAGCACGGGTATGGTGCTGACAAACCTAGAAACAATCGTGGAGAACCGGGATTCGAACCCACAATCAAATGTTTCTGGCGTGCTCAAGGGACACAACTCTGCACAAACAGCGGCATAATGCACGCAATGGGCAGCTGCACAGATTGGGTGTAACACATACATACATATATACATACCTTCATATATTAGCATTTAGGTACATATATCTTATTTATTTTTTTAAAAAGCATGACGCGCAAAATTAATGTAACAGTTCTGTTATCAACTACGATACAAATTGTACATTAACTGCGAAGCAAAAGAAAGTATACGCCCATGTTTCATGGTGGCCATGGCTTAGATGAAACAAACAAGAAATAGTTATTCGATGGTGATGTATTTGATACGGGTGTCATTTATTGGTCAAATACAAGTTTCCAGAGCAAGTTACCAGACACAGCAGGTTAATTTGGTTTCTAGACCAGCCGCCTCGTGCGCTGCAGTTCGCAGCGCAGAGTTACGTCGCTTAGGCGTGCCAGGAAGCTATGATCATGGGGACGAATCCCAGATTTACCTGATTATGTATTTTGGTTTGTCGGCACCATACCCGTGCTCGTGACAAAAGTCTCACAGTTGTCTATCGTCAGGTTTTACCTAAAACCAAACTTATTCACTCACTCACTCACTCACTCACTCACTCACTCACTCACTCACTCACTCTTACCATCTTGTTGCAGATAGCGGGTGGAGAGAAGACACCAGATTCATCAGATGGTATTGGGGCAGCTACATTTCCAAAAAGCGTTGACTGGAGGTATTTGTCTGCAAAATTTGTCATTAATCAACTGAGTCCATCCTCGACAACACAGGTACTATAACATCATTCTGTTCCGATTAAATACCTTGGGGCCATTCGCAACCAAAGCGAAGCAACGGAACACAAGATTTGTCTCGCCCATCAGTAATTGATTTATCATCTATATATATTTTTTTTCAGCGGCATGACAGTTGACTTAGGAAAAAAATACAAAGCTAGTATGGTAACAAATTGGTCCAGGGTGTTTAACATTTATAGAATGTTGATAGGTTGCTGACCTATTCTCTTACCGGATCTTCACGGGTCATAGCATTCAGATTTATTGAGATATTATATTTAGCCATATATATGTATATATGTATAAGTCCAGAATCTGCAAACTTACAGAAGAAGGCAATGCTAGTTGCCGTCATTTGAATATGTCTGAATACTAATATTCCAAACATTTCTTCAACATAACATTTGACCTTGCCAATATATAGGCAAAAACATATTCCACCTTGCCGTTTGCGGATTTGGAAAATTACAATCTTTATGCTAGCTACATACAAGGATTCATTCATCTATTTGACTTTCAGCCACATACTTCAAACATCATCTTAATAGCGAATGGACCCACCCTACACCACCCATCCTCACTCACTCACTCACTCACTCACTCGTGAAGATCCGGGGAAGAATAGGTCTTCAGCAACCCATGCTTGAAGTAAGATACGATTAGCGGGATCGGGTGGTCAGGTTCGCTGACTTGGTTGATGCAGACTCGAATATTTACAAACCGCCGTCATATGGCTGGAATATTGCTGATTGCGGCGTTAAATAACAACCAAACAAAAACTTACTCACTAACTCACCCAAGACCCACCCTTCACCACTCACTCACTCACTCACCCCACCCACCCACTCAAGACCCCCCTACACCACTCACTCACACGTGTATATATAAAACAATCAACAAACTTTTTCCGAGGCCGTATTCATAGGACATGACGGGGATGTTGCGGTCGCTGGTGACGGTGGCGACGACGCCTACTCTTCCTTTCCTTCTGTCGAACTCGCCAAAGTAAGCCTTGGCACTGATGGTCTTTTCGCCATTGACTGCGAACCCGAGCTGCACATCAAACAAAAACCTCGTTTTCTCTGAAACAGGAAATGCTCCCTCTTGTGAAACAGGATATGTCATTCATGAACAACAGCTTCTCTGAAATATTGTGCCATACAGAATAGACGTCTTTTATGAAATTCTTTTTGGCACACAGAAAAAGCGCCTTCTCTGAAACAATCGATGACATACAGAAGAAGCGCCTTCTCTGAAACAATCGACGACACACAGAAACAACGCCCTCTATGAAACAATTGATAAAACTCAGAAACATCGCGTTCTCTGAAACAATCGATGACACAGAAATAGCGCCTTCTCTGAAACAGTATTTATCCGAGTTTAAACTTCGCTAGGCATCACTTTGTTGGGAATGATTAACAATTTATTGAATTTGCTTCCTAACTGAATTTGCTTCCTAAATAAACAGTGAGTGAGTGCGTAACTATTGCTCTAAGCTGCATCATCAATAGTGCAACTATTCGCGGCTAGAACTGTTTACGAGTTTCCAATAGGCGAGTAGACAATGATAACACAGATCACTAAACGTTCAGTTAGATATCACAATAAAAGCTGACATTAAAAACTAAAATCCCTAAACAAATAGTACGATGAGTGTGAGTGGCTATTCTCTTAAATGAACTCGTAGGCGTAATAATATCAAAGAAAGTATTTTTCAAATGACTCGAAAATCATAACTATATAGAACACGTACGTAAAGAAACGCAAAGGGAAAATACACAATATTTGTTTCTTTTCTTTATATGTTTGAGGAAAGATATCAAATACACGACGTTTTATCAAAGCTGTTAACACATACCTGGTATGCATACTTCTGGGAAACTTCGCTTGATCTCTTTGACTTTGCAGGTGTTCTTCTTCTCGTTGATTATGTAGCGAACTCCCTGCACAGACAAAATGATATCTTCAGACTAGTCATTGGGAGACGAAGGCTAGTCATTGGGAGAGGAAGACTAGTCAGTGGGAGAGGAAGACTAGTCATTGGGAGAGGAAGACAAGTCATTGGAAGAAGAAGACTAGTCAGTGGGAGAGGAAGACTAGTCATTGGAAGAGGAAGACTAGTCAGTGGAAGAGGAACACTAGTCAATGGGAGAGGAAGACTAGTCAGTGGGAGAGGAAGACTAGTCAGTGGGAGAGGAAGACTAGTCATTGTGAAAGGAAGACTAGTCATTGTGAAAGGAAGACTAGTCAGTGGGAGAGGAAGGCTAGTCATTGTGAGAGGAAGACCAGTCATTGGGAGAGGAAGACTAGTCATTGTGAAAGGAAGACTAGTCATTGGAAGAAGAAGATTAGTCAGTGGAAGAGGAAGACTAGTCAATGGGAGAGGAAGACTAGTCATTGGGAGAGGAAGACTAGTCAGTGGAAGAAGAAGACTAGTCATTGTGAGAGGAAGACTAGTCAGTGGGAGAGGAAGACTAGTCAGTGGGAGAGGAAGACTAGTCATTGGAAGAGGAAGACTAGTCAGTGGAAGAGGAAGACTAGTCAGTGGGAGAGGAAGACTAGTCAGTGGGAGAGGAAGACTAGTCAATGGGAGAGGAAGACTAGTCATTGGGAGTGGAAGACTAGTCAGTGGGAGAGGAAGACTTGTCATTGTGAGAGGAAGACCAGTCATTGGGAGAGGAAGACTAGTCAGTGGGAGAGGAAGGCTAGTCTTTGGGAGAGGAAGGCTAGTCTTTTGGAAAGGAAGACTAGTCATTGTGAAAGGAAGACTAGTCATTGGAAGAAGAAGATTAGTCAGTGGAAGAGGAAGACTAGTCAATGGGAGAGCAAGACTAGTCATTGGGAGAGGAAGACAAGTCAGTGGAAGAAGAAGACTAGTCAGTGGGAGAGGAAGACTAGTCATTGGAAGAGGAAGACTAGTCAGTGGAAGAGGAAGACTAGTCAGTGGGAGAGGAAGACTAGTCAGTGGGAGAGGAAGACTAGTCAATGGGAGAGGAAGACTAGTCAGTGGGAGAGGAAGACTAGTCAGTGGGAGAGGAAGACTAGTCATTGTGAGAGGAAGACTAGTCATTGGGAGAGGAAGACTAGTCAGTGGGAGAGGAAGACTAGTCAATGGGAGAGGAAGACTAGTCAGTGGGAGAGGAAGACTAGTCAATGGGAGAGGAAGACTAGTCAGTGGGAGAGGAAGACTAGTCAGTGGGAGAGGAAGACTAGTCATTGTGAGAGGAAGACCAGTCATTGGGAGAGGAAGACTAGTCAGTGGGAGAGGAAGGCTAGTCTTTGGGAGAGGAAGGCTAGTCTTTTGGAAAGGAAGGCTAGTCATTGTGAAAGGAAGACTAGTCATTGGAAGAAGAAGATTAGTCAGTGGAAGAGGAAGACTAGTCAATGGGAGAGGAAGACTAGTCATTGGGAGAGGAAGACTAATCATTGGGAGAGGAAGACTAGTCATTAGGAGAGGAATACTAGTCATTGTGAGAGGAAGACTAGTCATTGGAAGAAGAGCGTACCAGAGACCTATGGTCGTGGTTCGTGTCAATGTCCCTTCACAATACCTAACCCTGTAAGGCGCCGCTATTCGCTATGCAGTTTGTGTCCCTCAGGCGTGCCAGAGACCTGAGGTCGTGGTTCGATTCCTTATGATATCTTGTCGAGTTTATCATATTACCCTTGCTCGTGGATATCAGCAAAGTGTTTAAACGTCTATAATTTGTATCATTCGGATTGTCCTCAAGCCAGCATGTCTTGATATAACTTGGTACTAAATAGTGTTCAGAGCGTTGTGAACACTAACTCACTCACTCACTCTTTCACTCACTCACTCACTCACTCACTCACTCACTCACTCATCTACTTTACTTTCAGCCTCATACTTCAAACATCATCTCAATAGCAAATGGACCCATCCTCCCTCCCTCCCTCCCTCCCTCACTCACTCACTCACTCACTCCACATGGTACCTACTGCTTTATAGTCGGTGATAATCTTGAAATCCGCTTCACGGTCTCCGACAGAAATGTTGGACCGAATAGCCGTCCTCTGGTTCTGTAAGTCGTAGTAGACGGTGTTGTGTCCCTGGGATGAAACAAAACGAAAAGATATAATTGGAGTACAGTTGGTGCAGAAAATGTATGCTTTTAAGCACCGTCTCCAATGCATTAAACCTGATTACTACAGCATCAAACGGTATGATCTCATGTATAAGTGAGTGAGTGAGTGAGTGAGTGAGTGATTGAGTGAGTGAGTGAGTGAGTGAGTGAGTGAGTGAGTGAGTAATGAGTGAGTAATGAGTGAGTGAGTGAGTGAGTATGGTTTAACGCCGCTTTTAGCAATATTCCAGCGATATCAAGGCGGGGGACACCTTAAATGGGCTTCATACATTTCACCCATGTCGGGAATCGAACCCGGGTCTTCGGCGTGACGAGCGAACGCTTTAACCACTAGGCTACCCTACCGCCCCTTCTCATGTATAAACTCATGCTATGTGACTGTCTGTTCTTGCATGCAGATTCCTATTTACCCATTTCCCCGTGAAGAACCGGTGTAGAATAGATCATCAGCAACCCATGCTGTACAAAGCGACTATGCTTGTCGCAAGAGGCGACTAACGGGATCGGGTGGTCAGGCTCGCTGACTCGGTGGATGCATGTCATGGTATCCCATTTGGGTGGATCGATGCTCATGATGTCAATTACTGGATTTTCTGGTACGGACTCGATTATTTACAGATCGCCGTCATATAGCTGGGATATTGCAGAGTGCGGCGTTAAACAACAAACAAACAAACAAACACAACATTAAGGGAGGGCGTGGGTTGCCAAGAACTCCCAAGTTACTTAGGGCGCTCCTGTACTCACCCGACCCGTGAAGATTCCGGGGTAGAATAGGTCTTCAGCAACCAATGCCTGCTGTAAAAGGCGACTATGCTTGTCGTAAAAGGCGACTAACGGGATCGGGTGGTCAGGCTCGCTGACTTGGTTGATACATGTCATCGATCCCAATTGCGTGGATCGATGCTCATGATATCAATCACTGGATTGTCTGGTCCAGACTCGATTATTTACAGACCGCCGTCATATAGCTGGAATATTGCTGAGTGCGGCGTTAAACAACAAACCAACCAACCAACCAACCTGTACTCACCCTCTCTTTAAGCGGCTTGTAGTCCCCTTTGATACGAGGCAGGCCCAATCCAAAGGACCCCTCATCTGCTCTCCAAGATGGCGGGGCGCATTTCCTCTCAGCGACCGCCACGCCGACAACAGCAACGACAAACATCAACTTCAACATATTGAACGTGAACGTGTCCTTATTCAATAGAAGAGTCTGAAATCTCCAGGTCTACCCGGGTTTATATAGATTTCAGTCCAGTAATATCCCGTAATGAAGCAGCATTAGTCAGCAAAATGTTGTCAAGTCCATGTTGATGGAATATTCCATCTAGTGCAATATGATATCATAACTAATATAATAATGCGCTTCAGAGCTGACAATGCAGTCCGTTGTTGCTTTCATATGTTTCAAACAAATTAAATTTATTTTGTGTCTATAAAGATTTGATATTATTCCGTTTGACGGGAACAAAAGGGAATGTGTCATGTTACTGGCAGGGGAAATATACAGGTAATATGAACAGTGTGCAAATGATTTATCTTTACAATTAGTGAGCGAGTAATTTTTTCAACACCGCTTTGAACAATGTTTCAGTTATATCACGGTGTGGTTTGATGTGCGAGGAAACCCGAAGTGATGTAGATCTAAGATGTTTGAGCAAGTCCCCTATTAGTGATGTGGATTTCAGCGCTATATAAATGTCCTGTTTATTCCTTATGATTATATTATGTTTGGCACTTTGTTGTCCACGAGCAGGCTATGTTGTCATTCGTGACCAACTCGTGTTATTCCGGGACAAGCCGAAAAGCGACTCGTGCCCCTCTCGTGGCCATTTATGCGACCGGGTTCCGTCTTAGCGCAAACGGGCATGCCTTAAGCAATTGTCAACTCGTTGCGTAATGGTTCACATATATTTCCCCACATGTTATATACATTTAAGGTGCAGGTTAAAGCACATCGGGACATGCGGAATTATACAATCAGTGAGAATGAACACATTTAACTGTGTCTTGGGTATATCTTTAGATGCAAGACACATATAAAATCAAAAATTATTTATGAGGGATTCTTTGACGAAGAACTTGATATCATACGCGCATTCTAATTGGTTTGTCGTATTTTCGCACATAACATTCATCGATAGGGGGACGAGTCTTCTTGCAGGTTACGGAAGGGGCGGGTGGTGACGAATGGCTATGTTGTTTATAAACCTAGAATCATAAAAAGGGCTAATCTGGAATTCGCACCCACAATAACAGGTTTGTGACACGGCTAAGGGACGCAACCCTGCACAGCGAATTGCGGTGCTTTGACGACTGGTCTAGTGGATAGAGCGTCTGCCCGGTGAGCGGAAGGACGTGGGTTCGATCCAGTACCAGCAGCCACACACACACAAGCGTTACTTATTCCCTGTCTTTATGGGGGTGGGTGGGGGGTGGGGGCACAGGTGGCCCAGTCGTCTAAGGCGCCGCAATTCGCTGTGCAGAGTTCTGTCCCTTGGGCACGCTGGAAACCTATGATGGGTTCGAATCCCGGTTCACCCCGATTATGTTTCTAGCTTTGTCAGCACCATACCCGTGCTCGTGGGTTTCACCGTTGTGGTAAACGTCTGAGACCTGCATCACTTGGGGCTTTCCTCCCACTTTAAGCTGACACGCCGTGATATAACTGGAATACTGTCAAAAGCGGTATTAAACCCAACTCACTCACTCACTCACTGTCTTGAGAATTCACAACAACCGGGGAAGCACGAATCATTGTAAAATTTGCTAAATATCATTCTACACGCTCCTTAAGAATTATAACATGATGAAGATGAGAAAAGACACATTTGATAATCTAACAGTTTACAAAAATTTCGTCACAGTTTTTGACATCTGCATCCTGGAAACAGATACCTATGATATGTAATAACAAATATTAGTCTTCTACAGCAACAATTTGAATTAATATCATTCAAAAACATATCGTAACATAAATCATAAAGTACTCTATTCATGAAAAAAATGTTAATATCGTATATTTTCATAATAATGACTGTACATGTAATCGTAAATCAGTCATGTGATCATTAAACCCTTGTAGGGTCTGTCTCAAAATTGTAATGAAAAATTATTAAGTTATTTGTCTAAGACATCACCAGAAACGAAAACATGACTTGATAGACGTTAATAGAACAGATATGCAGAAACGCCATTTACTATGAAACCAATTTAGTCATATATAGAGTTTTCAGACAAGAAACTGAAACAGGGCATTAATGACTCCCAGGGCTTTTGATACATCCCACACTACGTGCGTTGTATAAAAGCGCACCGATCTCCACTGATTTCCCAGACACTTCTGAAATCTCAACAATGTTGTTGTGCGCCGTTTTAGCCGTTGTGGTCGTCTCTGCAAATGGGTGTTGTGCCCCTGAGAGGTTCAGTGCCTACCAGTTGACGGCAGGCCTAGAGATGATCAAGGGCTCTCCCAAATCTGAAGTGGTAAGTTTCGTCCCTTTGATGTGTCCAGGATCCTATGATCGTGGGTTCGAATTCCAGATTTCCTTGATTCTTATCATCCTTACGATGCTAGCACCACACCTGTACACATGGGTTTCAAGAACGGGGATGGGGAATGCGGAGGAGGGGATGGGTGTCCAATCCTGTATGGCACTGCACATGATTTTGTAGGATTACGTATTTTAGGTGCCCATGAAGATCCGGGGTAGGACAGGTCTTTAGCAACCCATGTTTGCCATAAAAGGCGACTATGCTTGTAAGAGGCGACTAACGGGATCGGGTGGGCTCGCTGACTTGGTTGATGCATGTCATCGCATCCTAATTGCGTGAATCGATGTCCATGATGACAATCACTGGATTGTCTGGTCCAGACTCGATTATGTACAGACCGCCGTCATATAGCTGGAATATTGCTGAGTGCGGCGTTAAACAACAAATAAACAAACAAACGTATTTTAGGCGTCCAGAAGGCTGTAATCCTAGGTTCGAATTCCTGTTCGCCCTGATATGGTTTGTCGGCACTATATCCGTATTCCCGGGTTTCACAAAAGCGGGAAACGCCTAACATCTTCATCGATTTCCTTCCACATGAGCTGACTGTTTGAAGGGTGAGAGTGATTTGAGTACACGTTGGGGCACGTCACAGCCATCACCTAGGTGGGGCTGGTGTTTGTCAATACTTGCCATGTTTCAGGGACTGTCCAAGTTCTTCCACGACGGTGCCACCGAGAGATCTGCAGTGGTGGTCGAGTATGCCGCAGAGGGCGGACGGAATCGCATGAAGATTATATCGGATCACAGAAATGTAAGTGGAACTCGACGCATCAGCTAAAGATTCTAAGGAGACAATTGTATCGTGGTAAGATGTATACGTTGAAGTATCAGCTGCAGGGTCTGAGGAGGCAATTGTTTCGTTGTCAGATATGTAGCTTACAAGATAAGAGCGTATGTTCAGTATATAACAACACATATGTCTTATCCTATAGGGCAACTATTTCATTGTTCTACCTTGATACAATCTTTTACAATATGTCATGCCAAGTAGCATTGGAAAACGCAGCAACAGGAAGTTGAACAGATACCGGGTATATCATTTCTCATTTTCACTCTCACATTTTTGTTTTTTTCAGAAGCGACGCTACATAATCAACACTAAAACTAACGCCTGCACCGTAAAGACCATCAACTTGCCATTCCGTAGATTCTGTACAGGTAGTTCATTAAAATACAAAGAGGATATTTCATGTGTCGAGGGAAATATTATATTTTGGTGTCGTTGTCTACCGGATATTTGTTCTTTTTCATTTCAAATGGAAAACCTTGAAACGTAATTTCCCCCTACTTGACACGCAGGGACGTTTCACCACACCTTTTAACGTAGTTCCGAGGTTTGCAGAATCTTAAAAAAATAAAACAAAGACAATAAAAAATATGTTACGTCACTAAAATCCTTGATCATGCATTTGCTTATGATAATATACAAAATGAACTTTAATATAAAAAGCATTCTTGAAAGCTACGAGACCGCCGTTGGAAGCGTTTGAACGCACGCTGTTCACAAAACAAAAATGGCGCTTTGCGAAACGAACAGTCTCGATTGAGACTAGTTAATTTAGAGTTTATGGTGAAACAGTTTCAAGAGAATAACAAACGGCCAAAAATGATATTAACTCCACAAATGATCATCTGTCATTATTTTGCCATGTCAATGTGGAACTAACGTAAACAGGAAGTCGGTAGTTTGTATACGGGCCAGACACTCACGATAAAGGGAGTCAATTTGCGTGGAGGTAACTCTTGTATGACAATAGTTCCATCAAAGTGTTAAGTTCACAGCAGGGAAATGTCAAGTGACAGGTTCATAAAACGTTTGCACTCTTTTGTTATTAAATCCTACTTTCAAGCGTTAGCTTTCTTTCGACTTCTTTCTAGTTTACATTGGACTTTAAGGGGCGGTCGGGTAGCCTTGTGGTTAAAGCGTTCGCTCGTCACGCCGAAGACCCGGGTTCGATTCCCGACATGGGTACAATTTGTGAAATCCATCTCTGGTGTCCCCCGCCGTGATATTGCTGGAATATTGCTAAAAGCGGCGTAAAACCATACTCACTCACTTACATTGGACTTGAAATACGGAATAGATGAAGATCCAAACATGATACCTTTGAGGATCTGGGAAACGAAAGGTCCTCAGCAACCCATGCTTGTTGTAATAGGCGACTATGCTTGTCGTAAGAGGCGACGAACGGGATCGGGTGGTCAGGCTTGCTGGCTTGGTTGATGCGTGTCATCCTATTCAAACTGAATGGATCAATGCTCATGATGTCAATCACTGGATTGTCTGGTCCAGACTCGATTATTTACAGGCTGCCGTTATATAGCTGGAATATTGCTTAGTGCGGCGTTAAACAACAACCAAATAAAACAAAGTAACAAAAGTATTGACGATGAATCTTACACAAGTCATATATCGTGCATGAAATCGTGGACAATTAACATGAATAAATGATGTCAAAAAAATTGTAATAATTAAATATATACATATATATATATCGTGCATGTGGGAGCCGGTATTCAATGATAACCTTTCCATCATGTTTCCAGATTCCTCCAGGCACTTGTTTGAGGTAAACCTGGGGTATGGAGACAATTCCCTGACAGCGCGTGCATTTTACAAGGAGATGGACTCTCAGGACGGCAGATACAAAGTCGGCCATGTTTTCCTTGTCAGTGACGCATGCATACCGCTACAGGGAGAGAACTTCGGTCTCGGCCAACGTAAGTCTTTGAAAAAGTAAATCCATTCGAATTTAAGCATATCATCTTCCCGAGGCAAGAGCGTCTACTAGCCTTTTAATCAAAGTCTTGTTTCCATCCTTGCCACATCAAGCCCACTTTCCTGTGCGAAATACGATTGGACTATCGCGCATATCGATTGTCCAATCAGAGAACGTTTCACAAAATCAACATCCACGACTGGTACAGCTTCGCATGAAAGTGATTTCCCGCGGCCTGTCTTTGTTGACACGAAAGTGTTTTAAACCCACCAAAGATTGACAATGCTTTTTTGTCAGGTATGAAATCGCGAATGGTTTCGTTATCTAATCGACTAGGACGCCCGCCACCTATGGTAGTCGCCATGTTTGAGAAGCTATACGAGATAAGAAAAGCGATCTGATTGGATATCGCGTTTTCATTACAAGGGGCACAACTCGTGGTCTTCATGAGATGGCGCCAGGGTCGAGTAAAGTGGCCTTGATGTGGCAAGGGTAGAAACTAGGCTTTGACAAAGGCTAGAGGACACGCTTGTCTCGGGAAGATGACGTGAAGTGGAACAGTACCTGTGTATTGCTTGTGTAGCATTTGTTGTTGTTGTTGTTGTTGTTGTTGTTGTGGTTGCTAAACACAACTCATATGTTGTCATCAGAACAGAACAGGAGCATAACTTTATTAAACCCATAACAAATACAACTTACATGGTGGCGGAGGAGGGTTTGTTCGACGATTGAACACATTTCATGATAATATCACATAATGTGCTTGGTGTTTTCATGAGTCCGAGTGTTGTGCGTTGAAAAAGAGATTGTGCGTGTCCTGAACAGTAAGTGAGTGAGTTGGGTTTAACGCCGCTTTTAACGGTATTCCAGTTTTATCATGGCGTGTCATCTTAATGTGGGAGGAAAGCCCGAGGTGATGCCTGTTTTAGTGAGTAAGTGAGTATGATTTTACGCCGTTTTAGCAATATTCCCGCAATATCACGGCGGGGGACACCAGAAATGGGCTTCACACATTGTACCCATGTTGGGAATCGATCCCGGGTCTTCGGCGTGACGAGCGAACGCTTTAACCACTAGGCTACCCGACCGCCCCGATGCCTGCCTTAGACGTTTACTCCTTCGATGAAACCCACGAGCACGAGTACGATGCTGACAAACCTAGAAACATAAAAGGGGTGAACCGGGATTCGAACCCACAATCGTAGGTTTCAGGCGTGGCCAAGGCGCGTCTCCACAGCGAATCGCGGCGCCTTAGACGACTGGGCCATCCGTGCCCCCCTCCTGAACAGACGAAACCAAACTAGTATCTGCTTCCTCAACGTGAACAAGAATACGATGATTGTGTTCCACAAATACGCTTGTCAACAAGACACATGTCAGTAAAATTTTAAAAATCGAGATGGACTGATTGGTACGCAGAAAATATGAAACCCCTGTTTCTTTACTATGGAATACTGTAAGGGTCATTCTCACGATCTTAGCCTTTCATTTGGGAACAAGCTAAATGTGATTCCACCTCTCATTTCACGTGCATTTGCTTCAAATAAAATGGCGTCGCCGAAAGAAAACGATCTGATCGATAATTAAGATCTATATTTCAATAAAACGGGTCTTACTTCGCAAAATGCATCAAATCACGTAAGCATCTTGACTGAAAACATGGAAAGATTAAGAAAATATCTGTTGACGCTAAGTTTGCGGTACAAATGCTTTGCAAATATTGCAATCGACCGAAGCCCACACGGCAGTTTACGAACCGGATGTCGATTTTATTACGCGATTTTGATTGGACTATGCATTGACTCGTTAGTCCAGCCAAAATATAACTCCATAATGCCAGCTTTGTTCGGCAACTTGGGAAGATGCGTCACAGAGCCTGACAACCCGTCTGTGACGACAAGCATGCTTTGGTTCTTGGGACCTATTTGTAACCCACGGGGAAAGGGGTATATGGACAAGGTTGAAATATTTTGTCGCATGTTCTATGATTCCGCGGTGGACTGTTATTGACAAGCATGGGTTCAATGAGCGTATCCTTACCCCAAATCCCCACGTGGTGCCACGATTAAAAATGCTTAACTTGATCGTGGATGGGGATTATATCAGAGGGCATATAAATATTTTATTGCATGTTATTTTGCCGCCACAGTGAACTTTCTGTTATCGACTGGCTGGGGGTCGTTCAGTACCGACTTTGATGACTCCGTGTTCGATCCCCCACCCACCTGCCCTACGCTGTCCTGTTCTCAGGTAAGTTAAATTAACTTTGACATTAAACGAGTATTGACATTAAAGTTGACGTTAATGAATATTGACATTAAGGGAGCACTGGCAATAAAGCTAACACTAAAGGAGTATTCATTTTCAAACTGACAATAAATGAGTACTGTCATAAAAGTTGACATTAAACGAGTATTGACATTAAAGTTGACGTTAATGAATATTGACATTAAGGCAGCACTGGCAATAAAACTAACATTAAAGGAGTATTCATTTTCAAACTGACAATAAATGAGTACTGTCATAAAAGATGACATTAAACGAGTATTGACATTAAAGTTGACGTTAATGAATATTGACATTAAGGCAGCACTGGCAATAAAACTAACATTAAAGGAGTATTCATTTTCAAACTGACAAATAAATGAGTACTGTCATAAAAGTTGACATTAAATGAGTATTGACATTAAAGTTGACGTTAATGAATATTAATATAAAATTGACTTCACATGTGCAGTGATAATACAACTGACATTAAAAGGGTCTTGACATTCAGGGGGTTTTAACATTAAACTTGACAGTAAATTAATATTGACATTGAATTTTTACTGACCTTATATGAATATTAGCAGTGACAGTATCACTTGAAAATTGCATTTGACCAAAAGAATTACAAACGTTATCAAAACGTTACAAGGCTGAAAACAGTCGCCGAAACACTGCAAACTTAAGGTTCAAAACACAGCTATGATACCCGCATCAAATACATCACCATCGATTAACCATTTCTTGTTTGTTTCGTTGTTAGCCACCATCAAACATTGGTGTTTTCTTTATATTGCCCGGCAGTACAATTCGACTAGTTCGAGTCAAGAATATGTATTCTAATAAAAACTGGAATATAATACAGTAAAGTACGGTTATAACGAACTCAAAGGGACTACTAATTTTAGTTCGTTATAACCGTAGTTCGTTATAAGCATATATACAATATAACAACAGCATATAGTCGGGACCAAAAATGTCAGTTCGTTATATCCGTCCGTTCGTTATAAGCGTGTTCGTTATAACCGTAGTTTACTGTACATTTATTATATAAGGAGAATGCGTTTAATAGAAACTTATGTAAATGCTTCCGGGTCAAATAAGTTTCCGGAGGAAAGAATATTCATGTAGGAAATTATAAGTGTTGGATCGATACTGGCTGTCGAAAAAGCGAGTTTGGTTTTGGGCCCTTTGGGCGATATTCCAGCAATATCACGGCGGAGGACACCAGAAATGGGCTTCACACATTGTACCCATGTCGGGAATCGAACCCTAGTCTTCGGCGTGACGAGCGAACGCTTTAACCACTAGGCTACCCGACCGCCCCTGTGGAAGTACCATACCTAGGATATTACCTTCTCCAGAATACTTTCTCCAGCGGGAATAAATATCCTATTACACTTATACCTGTTTGACTGCGTTCGATAGTTTTATTTCATTTCTCTTTACAGAAAGATGATGTGAATATTTTTGAAATCATTCGGAACAAGGGCACCCTGAAGTATGGGACGCTGTAACCGCCTACTACACAGATTGGATCGTCAACGACGTGACAGAATGTTTACAACGTGATCCTGGTCACCAGAAATAGCAAGAACAACAACATTAATGTAGCTGACCTGATTCATCTGTAAACGTTCTTTCATATACAGTAAACTACGGTTATAACGAACTCGAGGGGACCACTTAGTTTAATTCGTAATAACCTTAGTTCGTTGTAAGCATACATACAGTATATCTACAACAAATGGTCGGGACTAAAAACTAAGTTCGTTATATCCGTCAATTCGTTATAAGCGTGTTCGTTATAAACGTAGTTTACTGTAGTTGATGATGGGCAAAATATGAACGTTGAAACATGTCCCTCTCGCTGTACTATGTCATCTATGTCAATATTGTTGCAGAATAAACAGTTGAGCATTTCGAGTTGTTTTAGTTACAGAGGGAGGGAGGGATACCAGTTACATCACGGCGTGTCAGCTTGATGTGGGAAAGGGGGACACGGGTGGCCCAGTCGTCTAAGTTGCGTCCCTTGGGCACGCCAGAAATCTATGATTGTGCTTTCGAATCCCGGTTCGCCCCAATTATGTTTCTAGGTTTGTCAGCACCATACCCGTGCTCGTGGGTTTCACCGAAGTGGTAAACGTCTGAGACCTGCACAACTTCGGGCTTTCCTCCCACATTAAGCTGACACGCCACGATATAACTGGAATAATGTTAAGAGCGGCGTTAAACCCAACTCACTCACTCACCGATGTGGGAAAGCCTGAAGTGATGCAGGTCTTAGAGGTTTGCGACTTTGCTGACACCCACGAGAACGAGTATGGTGCTAATCAACCTAGAAACCTAATCGGGGCGAACCGGGGTTCGGACCCACCATCATAGGTTCCTGGCGTGCCCAAGGGACGTTACTCTGCACAGCGGATTGCTGCGCCTTATGCGACCTGGCCACTCCTGCCCCCTTTATGTCATAGAATATTGGACGGATTTGATAAACTCATGCATAGACTTGTTCTAGTTTTTAAAAATACATATGCACGTTGAACGATTTGATTAAACCATGCATGAAGATCAAAACGTGTAGATTATGAAACAAACAGAGCAAACATGGAAAAACAATACAGGGATAAAATACTGAACGACAAAAGAAACGCAAATAATATATGTCGGTACTTGATGTCTCTCAGTTATATCCACTGTCCAATCGCTCAAACAGCTCACATTACTGACGAAATGTTGACGAGCACCTGGCAAATCTATATTAGTGTGGAGTCAAACATTGGCGCATCCGAAAATCGGATGGTATCCATATTGGCACGCCATTCAAAAGTCACAAGGTGCACGACATGTCCCTGCAAGCAAAGTCTTTTAAAGGGGCACTTCAACATTTCTGTTGCTCAAAGTGTGAGTGAGTATAGGTTTACGCTGCTGTTTTTAGCAATATTCCAACAATATCACAGGGCGGGGGGCACCATGGGCTTTACACGCTCGGCATTAAGATCAACAAGTACTGGTCGGCTCGGAGTCAGTATACTATGTCTGAGTGGGGTATTCATGTTAAACTGCGGCATGCTATCTCAGTGGGTTGGCACTATAAAATCGACATCATTCCGGTCTTGTACACACACGTGCGTGCACGTCGCTATGTAAGTGCAATAATCTTTCATCTCACCTCACCTTGATACTATATGCTACGTTTGTGGTGTGACATATTGGCTGAGTTGTGGCAGGGGATGCAGAAATACATAAGTACAGTACAAATACTTAAAGGCAGATCCGTGAAGATCCGGGGTAGAATAGGTCTTCAGCAACCCATGCTTGCCGTAAAAGGCGATTATGCTAGACCGCCGTCATATAGCTGGAATGTGGCAAAATTTAAGCGCTGAAGACTTCACGTTTGTCTTTTGTTACACTGGAAGTCCATCCCAAATCACCTCAAGCTGCAATATTTGAGGAGTTCCGGTCAAGACAAAGAAAGAACTAACATGATCTGTTATGCGCTTTGTTCATATATACCCAGCTAGCACTGTCATAGTGTTATAGGCTGCGCCAGTGATTCATATATAGTTTTGGGAATATAACAGATGATTTTTTGTTTGTTTGTTTGTTTGTTTGTTTGTTGTTTAACGCCGCACTTAACAATATTCCAGCTATATGACAGCGGTCTGTAAATAATCGAGTCTGGACCAGACAATTCAGTGATTGACATCATGAGCATCGATCCACGCAATTGGTATCGATGACATGTATCAACCAAGTCAGCGAGCCTGACCTCCCGATCCCGTTAGTCGCCTTTTACGACAAGCATAGTCGCCTTTTACGACAAGTATGGGTTGCTGAAGACCTATTCTACCCCGGAATCTTCACGGGTCATATAACAGATGAAACACCTGCGTCAAACTGCGTATCACATGGTGCACCTAGTGCCGATTTCCCCAGCTTATATATTGCAACTGTAAATCTATATGTTCGTTAAACTATAGCCCAAGATATTTATAATTATCTGAGTAATCAATATTCACCTCGCCTATGGTGAAAGTATATTGAGAACGAAGCACAGTTTTCGACCTCTGCCAAAAGCAGAGTTGATTGTACATTCCGACAATATCATGAGCATTCGTCCATGAATCACTATCCGGGGTAGAAGAGGTCTTCAGCAACCCATGTCATATAGCTGGAACATTGCTGAGTGCGGCGTTTAACAAACCAACCAACCAACTGGTCATAGAAAACAATAGCTGTCGGAAATACATGTACGTTGATCGTGACAAAATTTAGGTAACCTTAACCAGTATACAATAATCGTGTAATTGAAAAAAGTATTTGTCCTGGCTTACGACAGGAGGTTATTGGACTTACCGCACTTACTGAACTGTACAGCTAACCGCGTCACCATCGATAATGCACGAGAAGTATACAATGTTTGGTTAGCCTCAGAGGACAAAAACAGTATTGCAGGATGCTATCGATTAGTTATTGGTGATGAAGAAGGTCATCTCCAAATGACGTTCCCGTCATCGCTTTAAATCAATAACGCAGCCATCCTTCAAAGTTTTCTGGTCCATATATTTGTTATATTGTTTAAGCCTAAACAATGAAGACAATATGATGCTGGATAGTTGTTCTACAAGTTCCTTAAGTGTTTTGTTATCCACTTGTCACTGCTGGATACGGTGAAATACATTGACCATTTTGAAGTAAGCTGCTTTAAGTGTTCATAGTATCTGAAGCAATTCTGAAGTCATATTTGACTCAGTGACCTGTCACTTCGGAGTTCTCTAAAGTAAAACCTTGATAATCCAGAGGGAATCAATCATCTGGACTGATGTCATGAGTTTCTTGTTTAAATAATGATGTATACCGACTTATTCTGTCATATTGATATGCTGGCATTGCTACAGGAGAGGATATCAGAAACCATTAATTAATGTCACAACGCGTTTTAAGATTGGCGGTATACGACAGGCACGACTGCCATCATCTGTTTCTTACACAACCTAAAAATTGAATCGATGCATATTTTGTCTATTCCCATAATCGCTGTGGCTCATTACTACGTAACACAACGATCACGAGTGACGTCATCCGGCTGACTGTTTTCTACTCATACATAACGCGACTCTCCACCACCAAAGACAGCCATATCTGTTGATTGTCAAGGTGGTGATGAAAATGCAAACTATCTGACATAAAACAACTTTTATTAAATACTCTAAAACCATAACGTTTCCACACAGACGAAGGCGAATTCAACTGAAACTCGAGAAATGTATCAATGAATTACAGACACATACACACTCGCACGCAGACACACTCACAGGCACACACGCCGACATACACGTACAGACACACACAGACACACCCACACACGTAGACCCAGTCGTCTAAGGCACCGCGATGGCTGTGGGTTCGAATCCCGGTTAGCCCCGATTATGTTTCTAGATTTGTCAGCACCATACCCGTGCTCGTGGGTTTCACCGAAGTGGTAAACGTCTGAGACCTGCATCACTTCAGGCTTTCCTCCCACATTAAGCTGACACGCCGTGATATAACTGGAATATTGTAAAAATCGGCGTTAAACCCAACTCACTCACTCACTCACTCATTTCCCCATGACATGTGAAGAGGGTAGATATTCTTGTGGGCGGATGTAAGTTCTTCACAGAACATAAGAATGCTCCAATAGTTACAAGACAACCGATATGTTTACACAAACAAAAGACTTCCTCGTCGTTTCATTGGTCCTAAGTAGTGTGATGTTGATGTCGTCAGCGGTGTAGTCATGGTTAGTAGATGTCGCCGAGGACACAGGACAGATGGGGAGGCATCACGTCGATTACTTTATGTATGTAGCTACAACACTTGATGTCTCCATGGAAACCATTGATCTAAATGAAGACGTTGGCGTAGCTGAGGGGGGATTCTGTTTTGAGCGGTCGAAGTTAACATGGCTCGTTTTCATTCCGTGCTCGCTGTTACAGGTAAGATTATTTAAACAATGTGTTGAGAATAAATGCAGGGAACGTGCACCACTGTAATATAGAATACTAAACGAGCTCCCGTGTAATACCAATTTTATGAAACGAGTGAATAGTTGTGTTTCATAAAATTGGTTTTACACGGGAGCTCGTTTAGTATTTTATTTATTACTTGCCATTTATAACGTTTTTAGAATTATACTGCTGAGTGAGAATAGGCTGACACCTACACGATCCATGGCATAATCCAATTGAGTTTAACACAATGATACTTCAAACACGTCAAAAGTTGAAACGTATGAATTTAATACCATACAACGGCCCACCTTTAGAATTCAGGCGTCTGTTCCACAAAATTATAGTAGCGTATGTATGTTTATTGAACGGGTGATCTCTTCACGGGCAAGTAATAAATTCTGATCCTCTATATCCATGTGTCACTGATTGGACCATGGCGTCACTCATCTGCGTCAATTCTACATTTGAAAGGGTATGAAAGCCTAGAAGGGACATTGTCGCACTGTCGCATCGCCAAAAAGCAAAAAGTGTTAAAATTAACGAAAGCGCGACAATGCGACAATATCCCTTCAAGGATTCCCTAAAAATGTGACTCTGAATGTCAGAAAATGAAAAATGATAGGTCGTTCGTGTCTTTCGAAAAACCGAAAGCGCTTCTCGGAACGAATTATTTTACATTTTAATCGTATTTACATCCACCGATGATTTGTTTAAAAAAAAAAATTCAATTAATGATCCCTTATTTTTGTGAAAGAGGTTCCTGCGTTGCATATTCTAAACACCAAGCATTTTGTATGGCTCAAGGCAGAGTTTGAACGCCTCAGTGGCCTAGTGGTACAGCGTTCGCCCGGAGAGTGGAAGGTCCTGGGTTGGATCCCGGGCCGCGTCATACCAAAAGACGTTAAAAGATAGTACTTGTTGTTACCCTGCCTGGCTCTCGGCATTAAGGGGCTAAAATAAGTACTGGTCAGCACGGAGTCAGTATACTGTGTCTGAGTGGGGTATTCATGTTAAACTGCGGCATGGTATCTCAGTGGGCTAGCACTATAAATCGGCATCAGTCCAGACTAGTTCAAGCAGCCACACACACACACACACACACACACACACACACACACACACACACAGATGCATGTCGCTATATAAGTGCTATCATCTTGAACGCGAGGTTAAACCCATTTCACCTCACGTCACCTCACCTCACCATGTAAAATTTCACATTTCCGTCATTAGATATACATGTATAAGGGCAGTGGCAACAAGGCTTTGAGGGAACACATTTAGCGTAGCTATCGCAAGGCCACTACGTCTTGCATGTCATCATCTTGGTGTCGTAATCAAGCCTCGACCTCTGTACCACGTCCTTCATCCAGTGAAGGACAAAACTGTTTCTTTCTGAAACCGCCAATTTCAGACAACTTTTTCCTTGACCCCACTGTTGTCTGTGGGGTAGTAAAAAAGAGATTGTTTTAATGAGGTCACGGGTCACGGTTTTAGGTCACGATTGTAATTGAATTGTCTAAATTCGCAGTAAAATTAAAACAATAGCGATTACAAATTCAACAAGACATATTCAACAGTGGTCTCATTTAGTAATTACAAGTTTTATATTATATCGAGGCTGAAATGTAGCGTGTTACACCCAGGCCTTCTCTTTGACACACTATGTATATTATTTAAACAGTATAGAAATTCAGTATCGGGAATATTGTCATTGTCACTTTTTAGTGTATAATCAGTCTTCCTAAAGTTTCTTGGAACAAACACTTCATAGATTTCTAACCTCCACATATACTACAGTTAACTACGGTTATTACGAACTCAAAAGGACCACTCATTTTAGTTCGCTATAACCGTAATTCGTTATAACCGTAGTTCGTTATAACCGTAGTTCGTTATAAGCATATATACAGCATACATGAAGCCAATGCCAGGGAGAAAAAAACAGTTCTCTATATCCGTCAGTTGGTTATAAGCCTGTTCCTTATAAATGTTTACTGTACTTATATTTTCATTAGCAGATTATCAACACAAGTTATAACATGGCGTGGGTTAGCATTAGGTATCCAATGTATTGACTAGGGGCTAGAAATGCTCGCTCTTAGCTTCAACATAGTCAGTGTCAAGGAAACTAAGGGGCAAAGGAATGATTGAGTGAGTTGAGTTTAACGCCGCTTTTAACAGTATTCCAGTTATATCGCGGCGTGTCAGCTTAATGTGGGAGGAAAGCCTGAAGTGATGCAGGTCTCAGACGTTTACCACTTCGGTGAAACCCACGAGCACGGGTATGGTGCTGACAAACCTAGAAACATAATCGGGGCTAACCGGGATTCGAACTCACAATCATAGGTTTCTGGCGTGCCAAAGGGACGCAACGTGCCATAGACGACTGGGCCACCCGTGCCCCAAGGGGCAAAGGAAAGTAGATAAATAAATACAGTAAACTACGTTTAGAACGAATACGCTTATAACGAACTGGCGGTTATAACGAAATGTGTTTTTGGTCCGGCCATCTGCTGTATATATGCTGTATATGTTTATAACGAACTACGGAACTAAAATTCATTTCGGCGGATACTCAAGACCGGTTATTTTGGACGTATTACATTTTATGTACTTGAAAATTGAAAGAACTTTTTTTTAAATTGCATTATGTCTTTAACCATCACCCATTTCTGTAACACTTTGTAAAACGTAATCTGCGGGTGGGTAGTTTTGCTTTAAAATAATTGGAACAATGAAGACTCGGGTAAAATTGTGCCGAAAACAGCAAACTTATTGATATCACCATTATTTAGTGATCCATTCCTATAATTTTCACCGACATTTTGCCTTTTACCCCCAATGGAATCTGTTTCGGCGGATAATCGAGACTGGTTATTCTCAGGCTTTGCCGTTTTTTAATTAATATAAGCTTATTTGTTTGACTTATTTCACCTGGCCTTTGTAGTTAGTAGCTCGCCATTAGTGATAACTAGTTCATGTATTATTGACTTGTTAATGTGTGGTCTTGTTGTTGGGAGTATAGAGAAGAAGTGGAGCGGAACCAATCAATCTAATAAAATATGTGTACGAGGGCGGGGGAACAATACCCGCTTAGCGGCCCGCTGCTGATGGCATCAGAGTCCATACAAACACTGTCCTGTTCGTGCATGACACACCGAGAAGGCTTTGGGTCAGTAGGCCGGGACGCATCAGAAGTAGACCGTGACAGGGAGACATTATATTAGCTTAAAAAATAAAAGAATTGGTTCTCAGGCAATGACTTTTGAAAATAAAGTGCCGGTGGCGGTGTTTGGGTTTTTCTTTTAGCTTGTTCAAACTAGTATGTAACAAAATAAACAGTTGTGTACCATCAATCTTGGAAAGGGCTCCCTATATGAACAAGCATACAAACTCCTGTTGCCACCATGACTATAACACCAGATGCACAGTAAAGCAGTGTGCATGTAAAGGGAAGTAACTGTGTGCTCTATTGGACCGCATTGTCTTTAAGTATCATGGGTTTTTTTTAGTGTGTTTTTTTTAAATGGAAATGAAAACGAAGCGTGCAGCTGACTTGATGATGCGCGCGGCGCCTGAGAACCAAGACTATTATTTTTTTAGCCTTGATGTTATGAATCGATCAAACGTATACAGCCGAACATCGTTGTGTTGAACTCGTAGAGACCAGGGGGAAAGTTCGAGTTATCCGGGGTTCGAGACAACCAACCAACATCAGTGTGGCGTGTGGACGTTGTTTTATTCTGAACAGTTCGAGTCTTTAGGGAATGTTATGATTAATTTGGATATGTTGGACTCCCAAATAAGTTCGAGACAACTAGTTCGACAGATGCGAGTATAAATGATGATAAACATAGACAGATTTCGCAGAAACCTGAAGGTGAGTTCGAGACAACAGGGAAATCGACATAACGAAGTTCGACTGTAGTTTGGTCCTTGTGGCAAATATTGAATAGAATTTCTTGGGCCCATATAGCTGCAGCATCTAATAGCTCATTCCAATTACTAGTATTTATTTTTAAGTCTAATTAATCATATTTAAATCTAATTAAAACTAATTAATCTTGTGACCTTTGTATGGTATCAAATAAACTGCCGGTTAAAAGAGCGTATACGCCATGTTTGATGGTGGCTAAAAATGAAACAAACAGGAAATAGAGATTAGATGTATTTGATACGGGCATCATAGCTGGGCCTTTGACCTTCAGTTTGCAGTGTTTTGGTAACTGTGACTACAAGTGACGATTCAACTACGAGGGGCGTTAAATAAGTTTTGCAACTTCAATATTTATATAAGACCAAGTCGCAGAATATCTTTTGTACTTTTATTTTTCAATATAACCCCCGTTCACCCCAATACACTTATTCCATTTGTCTTTCAAGCTTCTAATACCACTTTTATAGAAATCCGCAGATTGGCCCTCTAACCACGCCTCTGTGGCAGCCTTTATATCCTCGTCATCCTGGAAGCGTCTTCCACGTAGGGCAGATTACATTTGCCGGAACAGGAAATAGTCACTGGGGGCTAAGTCTTGGATATAGGGTGGGTGATTTAACTGTTCGAATCCACATACACATATGGCGGCCACATGCGATCATGGATTTTTTTTGCTTTGCATCCCTCCTTAGTAAGGAACTTTATTACAGCGCGTTGTTCATGTTTGGGAGAATCAATGATTGTGACCACCCTTAGGTGAATACAGCCATCACATCTAACTTATTGTTGTGTCTGGAACTTGTTATGACACGTGTCAACCTGATGTTATGACTAGTGTCACACCTGCCACAAGTTGACATTGTTTGTGTGAACACAAATGCCCAAGTTGCAAAACTTATTGAACGCCCCTCGTATATTATAAGCATGTTGTGCAAGACAAAATAGGGAATGGAATTGTCATCATTTTTGTCACTGAATCATCAAATTTGGAAATACCCGCCACCTGTATACCATAAAACTTTACTTTACGTGAGCCTTTAATGTTGTCACCATTATCAAGAAGTGTAGAAAAGGATTTTGGGACATGGCAAATTGTTGTTGGTGTTTCAACAGAAAGGATGTGTCAAAGTATTCTGTTACAGTAAACTACGTTTATAACGAACACGCTTATAACGAACAGACGGATATAACGAAATGTCTTTTAGTCCTGTTTGCTATTTACAGGCTGTATATATGCTTACTACAATTTAACTATTATTACGAACTAATATTAGTGGTCCCTTTTAGTTCGTTATAACCGTATAGAACTGTATTTTATTTTCCAGGTATTGTGTTGTGCATAGCCCTGTGCGAAGGTGCGGTAACCGACTGTGTCAACGCCAACAGCTGTAATGGACACGGCACGTGCCCCAGCCCCTGTTCAGCTCCGTGCACGTGTACTGGTGGCTACGGCGGCCACGACTGCACTATCCGTGAGTGTTCATTACCTTGACCGTCGTTACAAGATTGGTTTGTTGTTTAACGCCGCATTCAACAATGTTCCAGCTATATGACGGCGGTCTGTAAATAATCGAGTCTGGACCAGACAATCTAGTGGTTGATATCATGAGCATCGATCCACGCAATTGAGATCGATGACATGCATCAACTAAGTCAGCGAGCCTGACCATCCGATCCCGTTAGTCGCCTTTTACGACAAGCATAGTCGCCTTTCACGGCAAGCATGGGTTGCTGAGGACCTATTCTATCCCGGAATTTTCACGGGTTGGTCGTTACATGAACACCTGGTGTCATCACTGAGTGGACCCGTCGGTATCCCAATTGCATGGATCGATGCGCATGATGTCAATCCCTGGATTGTCTGGTCCAGACCCGATTATTTACAGATCGCCTTCATATAGCTTGCATATTGCTGTGTGCGGCGTTAAACAACACACAAACAAACAAATATCGATGTGTCAGGGGATGCGGGAGAAAGCCCTTAGTTTAGCAGGGCTTAAATTGAAAACGTTATACAACGAATGCGACCATTATCAGCTCTGTTTCATCCGCAGTGCAAAGATTTAGTCATCTTTAGTCATCTTCTGTTGCAGCACCCATCTGCTCTGCAGCCGGAGGTGAGTGTGGTGCCAACGGTGTCTGTACAACGTCATCAAGCCCCTATGTCTGCACCTGCACCAACGGATACTCGGGCCCAAAGTGTACCGTAGGTAAGGAAAAGCATTTTGTTCAATTATGAGTGAAGGGGCGGGTTTAACGCATTTGACGTAGTATCTCAGTCATGTCCCTGCCGATCAATTTCATATGACGTCGGTCGTTGCTTATGCAAACTAGTGCGGTGGCAGACCTGGGGTCCATACCTCACCACTCGCCCCTTTCCGTAACTGCAAGAAGACTGGTTCCCCTCATTCGTCACCACTCGTCCCTTTCCGTAACCTGCAAGAAGACTCGTCCCCCTATCGATGAATGTTATGTGCGAAAATACGACAAACCAATCAGAATGCGCGTATGATTTCAAACTCTTCGTCAAAGAATCCCTCAGAAATAATTTAGGACTTTACATCCGTCTTGCATCTAAAAATATACCCAAGACAAAGTTAAATGTGTTCAATCATACTGTAAAAACTCGCATGTCCCGATGTGCTTTAAATTGCATCTGAAATATATATAATATACGAGGAAAGATATGTGAACCATTACGGAACCCGGTCGCAAAAATGGCCACGAGAGGGGCACGAGTCGCTATTCGGCTTGTCCCGGAGTTGTTCACGAATGACCTAGGGTCATCTTGGAGAATCTTTGATTCCAACTTACAAGTCCCCCGGCGTGATATTGCCGGAATATTGCTAAAAGCGGCGTAAAACCACGTCCACTAACTCACTCACTAACATATCTAACGGTCGCAACTCGTTAAGCGTCATTATCGTAGTCAAGTCGTATCAACTTTTTTAGTCCATGAACTTTGCTATAACCAACTGATTTTTACAGCCCCCGTGTGCACTGCTGCCGGAAACCAATGTGGTACTAATGGCGACTGCAGAACGTCGCCCAGTCCATACTCCTGTTCCTGCCGCAACGGCTACACAGGGGCACTGTGTACCATAGGTAATATCGCGACGCCTTCACTCTCATTACGTTTGTTGGTTTGTTGTTTAACGCCGCAATCAGCAATATCCCAGCTATATGACGGCGGTCTGAAAATAATCGAGTCTGGACCAGACAATCCAGTGATTAATATCATGAGCATCGATCCACGCAATTGGGATCGATGACATGCATCAACCAAGTCAGCGAGCCTGACTACCCGATCCCGTTAGTCGCCTTTTACGACAAGCATTGTCACCTTTTACAGCAAGCATGGGTTGCTGAAGACCTATTCTACCCCGGAATCTTCACGGGTCTTCACTCTCATTACGTTAGATTGATAGCGAGCATCTCATTGGGTAGTGCACTGGTCTGCTTATCTTTCATGGGAAGAAATAAGATCGACAAAACGTGTCCTGACGTAAATATACCATACTGCCGTAAGAATATCTGAAAGAAATTTAGAAGTGATACACATAAAGAAGAGAATATATGGATGTCATCTTCTTTATTATGATGAACACAACGTTTTGTTGAAGGAGTAAGCATATACTCCGAAACGTTGTGTTCCTCATAATAAAGAAGTTGACATCCATATATTCTCCTCCTTATCTGAAAGAAAGTCTTGGCTGAGGATATTTATCGGAATGTGTACACGGGGCAAACTCACTGGATTGTCTGGTCCTGGCTCGATTATTTACAGACCACCGTCATTTAGGTGGAATATTGCTCAGTGCGGCGTTAAACAACAAACAAACAAATAAACAAACAAACAAACAAACAAACAAAAAATTGATCCTTCAACTTAGGCGTTGTTTAAATTTAAGCTTGCGATCTTTCTATCCCATTTGTTTTGACACTGTTGTCGTTATTTTGATTGTGTTGTTAATTACAATTGTTGAACATATTTGATTGAACGTATACTGTAAAGTTAATAATCCCAACAGTTTCAACATAAGTCGGCGATTGTACTACCTTTGTATCACCTTTGTACCATGTACCATGTACCATGTATCTCTCCTATCTTATCTACAGCCCCCCTGTGCACTGCTGGCGGAAACCAATGTGGCACTAATGGCGTCTGTAGGACCACCTCCACTCCCTATGTCTGCGTCTGCTCGAACGGATACTCAGGGCTGACCTGCTCCATAGGTATATCTACAGTACATCTCTGGAATCAAATGAAATGATTTGTGTGTGTTGAAATGCAATGATTACTGGTTCCTCAAAGTTGACGTTTTAATGACGACACGTGTGTCACTTCCATAAATAGGACCCGTGAAGATCCGGGGTAGAATAGGTCTTCAGCAACCCATGCTTGCCGTAAATGGCGACTATGATTGTCGTATGAGGCGAGTAACGGGTTTTGGTGGTCAGGCTCGCTGATTTAGTTGATGCATGTCATCGTTTCCAAATTGCGTAGATCGATGCTCATGATGTCAATCACTGGATTGTCTGGTCCAGACTCGATTATTTACAGACCGCCGTCATATAGCTGGAATATTGCTGAGTGTGGTGTTAAACAACAAACAAACAAACTTCCACAAATAGAAATTATTATACTAGCATGTGTGTCGTACTGATTTCACGAACGAGTGTCAGAATGTTTGCATTTCCCGAGCGATAGAGATAGTAATACATGAGTGAGTGAGTGAGTGAGTATGGTTTTACGCCGCTTTTAGCAATATTCCAGCAATATCACGGCGGGGGACACCAGAAATGGGCTTCACACATTGTACCCATGTCGGGAATCGAACCCGGGTCTTCGGCGTGACGAGCGAACGCTTTAACCATTAGGCTACCCGACCGCCCTAGTAATACATGAATACTTACACCAGTTTCGAAAATCAGTTTGACACAGACCCGAGTGTAATAATTTCTTTATAAACCATTATTTGTTAATCCTTTTGAAATCCTCTCAGAAGAATCACGACAAAACCAAAACCACAAGTGTCGCAAAGACGTCAATAGTCATTTCTTATGTGACGTCATTCCGCCCTACGTCACAATAGGATTCGAATGACGTCAACAGTGCCGTCTGGATGTCGTAAAGAATACACTGGTGCGCGTGAAGTGATATTTGCAGAAGTACACGTACGATTCTTTTTAGCTCGGTTATTTCTATTTCGGGTAGCCTAGTGGTTAAAGCGTTAGCTCGTCACGCCGAAGACCCGGGTTCGATTCCCGACATGGGTACAATGTGTGAAGCCCATTTCTGGTGTCCTCCGCCGTGATATTGCTGGAATATTGCTAAAAGCGGCGTAAAACCACACTCACCCACTCTTTTGATATTAACAATTCCTAGGTGGTTGTTGGTGTGAGACGTTTGTGTTTATATTTACAGCCCCGGTCTGCACTGCTACCGGAAACCAGTGCGGCGCTAAAGGAGTCTGCAGGACCTCCATTACTCTACCACACATCTGTTCCTGTTCCAATGGATATACAGGAACACTGTGTAACATAGGTAAAGTAACTCAACGTCCTCTCTCGTTGGGATCAAATCTCACTGTGTACTCGATTCCGGGGTAGAATAGGTCTTCAGCAACCCATGCTTGCCGTAAAAGGTGACTATGCTTGCCGTAAAAGACGACTAACGGGATCGGGTGGTCAGACTCGCTGACTTGGTTGATGCATGTCATCGATCCCAATTACGTGGATCGATGCTCATGATATAAATCACTGGATTGTCTGGTCCAGACTCGATTATTTACAGACCGCCGTCATATAGCTGGAATAGTGCTGAGTGCGGCGTAAAACAAACAAACAAACCAACCACTGTGTATTCAATGTGTGCAGTGATGCGTTGTGACGCTCGTGCAGTGATGCGTTGTGACGCTCGCAACAAGCGAAATCTGCTGTTGACATTTCGTCATATTTGGGACATCAGTAACAACTCCTCTATCGTCGTTGGTGAACAAGACCGCCTCCGTTGTGAAGTGGTAGAGCGTCCGCCCGGAGAGCAGAAGGTCGGGGTTCGATCCCCGATCGCGTCCTACCAAAAGACGTTAGAAATGGTACTTGTTGTTACCCTGTCTGGCGCTCGGTATTAATGGGCTAAAACAAGGACTGGTCGGCTCGTATACTGTGTCTGAGTCGGGTATTCATGTTAAACTGCAGCATGGTATCTCAGTGTGCTAGCACAATAAAATCGGCATTAGTCCGGACTAGTACAAGCAGCCACACACACGTGCATGTTCGTTGCTATATAAGTACAACAATCTTGAACGCAACTTTAAACCCGATTTCACCCCACCTCGTTGGTGCCCCAAGATTAAAAAATATGTGCATATTTAAGTGAGTGAGTTATTATTTAACGTCATATCGGCATTTATCAGCCATGTAGCGATGAGTTGTCCGTAATTGATGGTATAACCTTCTCAGCATCACTTACACTTTCTCCATCTTCAGGGGTGAACAGGGGGCACAGGGGGCAGAGGGGGCACGGGTGGCCAAGTCGTCTAAGGCGCCGCGATTCGCTGTGCAGAGTTGCGTCCCTTGGGCACGCCAGAAACCTATGATTGTGGGTTGGAATCCCGGTTCACCCCGATTATGTTTCTAGATTTGTCAGCACCATACCCGTGCTCGTGGGTTTCACCGAAGTGGTAAACGTCTGAGACCTGCATCACTTCGGGCTTTCCTCCCACATTAAGCTGACACGCCGCGATATAAATGGAATACTGTTAAAAGCGGTGTTAAACCCAACTCACTCACTCACACTCATGGGTGAACAGATCTATTGTGTATATTTACAGCCCCCGTCTGCTCAAGTGGCGGAAGTCAGTGTGGCGGCCATGGCAGCTGTACCGTGTCCTCCTCTCCCTACGTCTGTACCTGCAGGGACGGATACACAGGGTCACTATGTACCACAGGTAAGGGAAGGTACATTGACACACATTGGTGTCGAAAGACAAAGGATATGACATGTATTCGTTACTGTTATCTCAGCAAATACTTTCGAATGGCGATAAATAAGCCTATACATAAGCCAAAGTGTGTTGTTCGCCTTCAGGTGAATTCACATTCATTCATGAGCTTAAAGATGCCCCCGACGCTGTATCTCAATTGACAGACAAAATGGCAAACAGTGGGAAAGATAGATGTGGTTACCTCAATACCCCAAGTTGCTCGAAATGTTTGGCTAATGAAAAAGTGTAATTTCTCGACTTGGGTACAAGTACCCTCAAACTGGTGGGGGGGGGGGGGGGGGGGGGGGGGGGCAATGAGACCTGGGTGAGTGAGTGAGTGTTTCTAGGTTTGTCAGCACCATACCCGGGCTCGTGGCTTTCACCGAAGTAAACGTCTGAGGGCTCTCCTCCCACATTAAGCTGACACGCCCTGATATAACTGGAATATTGTTAAAGTGGCGTTAAACCCAAATTCACTCACTCACTTATAACCTTCTCGACATCAAATACACCACCTCTACAGACGTTGGTGAGACAAAATGTTATGTATATTTGCAGCCCCCATCTGCTCAAGTGGCGGAAGTCAGTGTGGCGGCCATGGCAGCTGTACCGTGTCCTCCTCTCCCTACGTCTGTACCTGCAGGGACGGATACACAGGGTCACTATGTACCACAGGTAAGGGAAGGTACATTGACACACATTGGTGTCGAAAGACAAAGGATATGAGTGAGTGAGTGAGTTGGTTTTAACGCCGCTTTTAACAGTATTCCAGTTATATCGCGGCTTGTCAGCTTAATGTGGGAGGAAAGCCCGAAATGATGCAGGTCTCAGACGTTTACCACTTCGGTGAAAGCCACGAGCACGGGTATGGTGCTGACAAACCTAGAAACATAATCGGGGCGAACCGGGATTCGAACCCACAATTATAGGTTTCTGGCGTGCCCAAGGGACGCAACTCTGCACAGCGAATCGCGGCGCCTTAGACGACTTGGCCACCCGTGCCCCCTAAGGATATGACATGTATCCAGCACTGGTGGGGTAGTCTAGTGGTTGAAGCGTTGGCTGGTCACGCCAAAGACCTTGGTTCGATTCCCCATATGGGTACAATGTGTAAAGCCCATTTTCTTGTGTACGTGATATTGCTGGAATATTGCCAAAAGCGGCGTAAAAGCATACTCACTCACTCCCATTACTGGTATCTCAGAAAATATTTTCAAAGAAACAAATAAAGTTGTCCATAATTGATATTTTAACCATCACAACATCACTTACACTCCTCCATCCTCGACGCTGAACAGATCTATTGTGTATATTTGCAGCCCCCATCTGCTCAAGTGGCGGAAGTCAGTGTGGCGGCCATGGCAGCTGTACCGTGTCCTCCTCTCCCTACGTCTGTACCTGCAGGGACGGATACACAGGGTCACTATGTACCACAGGTGAGGGGACAGTGTGTTCATAATAAAAATAATGTTAGGCTATTTATATTGCGCATATTTCCATACCACTCACGGGCATGCTCAAAGCGCTATTATTACCCTGGTCACTGGATCAGTGTTAACCCAAGAATCATTCTCAGCTCCCTGGGGAGAATACAACCCAAGCTGCCTGAAGGTTAACAACCACATTGCCATATCGCGTACCCTTTTACAGACGGAGGTGAATTCGACCGAAGGACGAGTAACTTATCAATGAGTTCCAATCAGGAAAGTAGTCCGTCATAATCTGACCTCAGGTCATCACCATGGAGGAGCCAATCAGGGATCTGGAATTCGTTTTCACACATATGCTTCATACCAGTTATCTCAAATGGGTTTCTCACCCAAAGGTGTGTAAGAAAAAGAAAAAATCTACGATATCAAATGACAGGCACAGAGGTTTCAGCCACATAAACAATGTGCATGTCGGTACTTCTTGCATTGTGGTTGCCCCGAGATTAAAAAGTTGTCCCAAACATTGTTATATTTTTTTTTTATGTTTAAACACATTTTGTCCATAATTGATATTGTAACCTTCTCAACATCACTTACACTCCTCCATCCTCGACGCTGAACAGATCTATTGTGTATATTTACAGCCCCCATCTGCTCAAGTGGCGGAAGTCAGTGCGGCGCTCATGGCAGCTGCACCGTGTCCTCCTCTCCCTACGTCTGTACCTGCAGGGACGGATACACAGGGTCACTATGTACCACAGGTAAGGGGACAGTGTGTTCATAATAAAAATAATATTAGGCTATTTATATTGCGCATATTTCCATACCATTCAGGGGCATGCTCAAAGCGCTATTATTACCCTGGTCACTGGATCAGTGTTAACCCAAGAATCATTCTCAGCTCCCTGGGGAGAATACAACCCAAGCTGCCTGAACGTTAACAACCACATTGCCATAGTTCATTCAAACTGGCATCAACAGACTGACTGGGGCTGTGTTACTGTCATACAGCGGTGTCAACTAGGAACACTTACTGTAACAAGATGTCATGGTGATCTCTGTAGGGTCTAACACATTGTGGTGGATGTTTTTGAAAAACTGAAAAAAGTGATGTTTGACTGGCGGCATTAATAGGATGTCTCTTCCGCGATGGCATCCTCTTACCCTTACCTACTGTTGTCTGCATGGACTTTCATCTGACGCTGTTCCAATTGTCTTCACAGCCCCCATCTGCACTGCTGCCGGCAACCAGTGTGGCACTAATGGCGTCTGCAGGACCACCTCCACTCCCTACGTCTGTGTTTGCTCGAACGGATACAAGGGCAACCTGTGTACCATAGGTACTGTTACGATACTAGGGCTGGGATGGGTCCAAATATACTACCCGGGTACCCACCACCCTATTACCCGACCCTACCCGGTACCCGCTGTAGATATTTAGAGATAGGTACAAACTGTACAATGTGGAAATGTTTGACCGTAGCCCTGGCAAAATGTATTTAGATACACGTGTAAGACGATCCGCTCTTGCATACACTGAAGTTTAATGCATAAAGTTTTAGTTTTATTCAAACATATAAAAGTCAGAAGGAATGGGTGCATTGTCAGAAAGAAATAGGATATTAGTGACGTATAGTGTAACCATAGAGTTTTAGATAATTTTTGTCATCAAACAATATATATCACGTGACTAACCACGGGTCCGGGTAGTCCTGTGGGTATCCGGGTCCTACTCAGGACCCACCCGACCCGGGTACCTGACTAACCCGTCCCAGCCCTATACGATACATCCACTCTCAGCGGGATCCAATGCAGAGACTTGCATGTCTACTCACCCAGTAAAGTTTGAAAGGCAATATGTCATCGTCACATTTGCTTTGACACCAGGGTGATATTGTGTCACTGAGGTTATATTTACAGCCTGAACTCAAAGCATGCTCTAAGCACTTAGACATTTATTACCCTGGTCAGTGGATCAGTGTGCACTTAACAATCATTCTCAGCTCCCTGGGGAGACTACAACAAGTTTATCATGTTGTTATTTCTTAGAAACATCTGTGGCCATTAAATTGTTTTGAAAACGTTTCATATACAGTAAACTAAGGTTATAACGAACACGCTTATAACGAAATGACGGATATAACGAACTTACTTTTTTGGTCCCGACAATTTGCTGTAGTTATGTTGTATATGTGCTTATAACGAACTACGGTTATAACGAACTCAAAACAGTAGTCCCTTTGAGTTCGTTATAACCATAGTTTACTGTACTTCATTAAACCACGTTCGGGGCTCATGATAAGTTGGCAATGCTTCCACTTCAGCACCATTCTGCACAGCATCAGGAAGCCAGTGCGGGATCAAGGGAGGATGCAACACCTGCTTGAGCACCTACGCCTGTCAGTGTTATTCTGGGTACGGAGGGGGCACCTGTTCAGCAGGTAAGGATGTACTTCAACACCTACGCCTGTCAGTGTTATTCTGGGTATGGTGGGGTCACCTGTTCAGGCGGTAAGGATATACTTGAGCACCTACGCCTGTCAGTGTTATTCTGGGTATGGAGGGATCACCTGTTCAGCAGGTAAGGATATACTTGAGCACCTACGCCTGTCAGTGTTATTCTGGGTATGGAGGGGTCATCTGTTCAGCAGGTAAGGAAGTACTTGAGCACTTCGCCTGTCAGTGTTATTCTGGGTATGGAGGGGGCACCTGTTCAGCAGGTAAGGAAGTACTTGAGCACCTACGCCTGTCAGTGTTATTCTGGGTATGGAGGGGGCACCTGTTCAGCAGGTAAGGATGTATTTGAGCACCTATGTCTGTCAGTGTTATTCTGGGTATGGAGGGGGCACCTGTTCAGGCGGTAAGGATATACTTGAACACCTACGCCTGTCAGTGTTATTCTGGGTATGGAGGGATCACCTGTTCAGCAGGTAAGGATATACTTGAGCACCTACGCCTGTCAGTGTTATTCTGGGCATGGAGGGGTCACCTGTTCAGCAGGTAAGGAAGTACTTGAGCACTTCGCCTGTCAGTGTTATTCTGGGTATGGAGGGGTCACCTGTTCAGCAGGTAGGGATATACTTGAGCACCTACGCCTGTCAGTGTTATTCTGGGTATGGAGGGGTCACCTGTTCAGCAGGTAAGGAAGTACTTGAGCACTTCGCCTGTCAGTGTTATTCTGGGTATGGAGGGGTCACCTGTTCAGCAGGTAAGGATATACTTGAGCACCTACGCCTGTCAGTGTTATTCTGGGTATGGAGGGGGCACCTGTTCAGCAGGTAAGGATGTACTTGAGGACTACGCCTGTCAGTGTTATTCTGAGTACGGAGGGGTCACCTGTTTAGCAGGTAAGGATGTACTAGAGCACCTACGCCTGTCAGTGTTATTCTGGCTACGGAGGGGTCACCTGTTCAGCAGGTAAGGATGTACTTGAGCCGAACAATAAGAGTGAGTTGGGTTTAACGCCGTGACAGCTTAATGTGGGAGGAAAGCCCGAAGTGATGCAGGTCTCAGACGTTTATCACTTTGGTGAAAGCCACGAGCACGGGTATGGTGCTGACAAACATAGAAACATAATCGGGGCAAACCGGGATTGGAACCCACAATCATAGGTTTCTGGTGTGCCCAAGGGACGCAACTCTGCACAGCGAATTGTGGCACCCTAGACGACTGGACCACCGATAAGGCACATCGCAGAGACTCTTATAGACTGTTAATGTTTCCTCATGATCATTTCTACATTTGAACAAATGCTACTATCCCTTTTCGTGTATATAACAATTCCCCGTGAAGATCCGGGTTAGTAGTGGTCTTCAGCAACCCATGCTTGAAGTAAGATGGACTAACGGGATCGGGTGGTCAGGCTCGCTGACGGTTGATGCATGTCATCGTATCCCACTTGCGTAGATCGATGTCAATCACTGGTTTGTCTGGTCAAGACTTGCTTATTCACGGACCGTCGTCATTTAGCTTGGACTATTGCTGAGTGCGGCTTTGATCAACACACAAACAAACAAACAAACAAACAAACAAACAAACAAAAATCACCTTTTATATGTCCGTTATAATACTGTACTGAGACATGAATGTGAATAAGTACAAGCCACTCTTTCCAGGCTTTAGTGTACAATTACTGAAACGACACTATGTACATGACATTCGGACAGACACATATTTTGTTAAAGGCTTGACGACAAACGAGATCCGGTGGTCAGGCTCGCTGACTAGGTGCATGCATGTCATCGTATCCCAATGTCTGCAACAAACACACACACGCATGTCTGCATCAAACACACACGCATATCTGCATCAAACACACACGCATATCTGCAACAAACACACACACACTCATGTCTGCATCAAACACACACTCATGTCTGCAACAAACACACACTCATGTCTGCATCAAACACACACGCATATCTGCAACAAACACACACGCATGTCTGCATCAAACACACGCATATCTGCAACAAACACACACACGCATATCTGCAACAAACACACACGCATGTCTGCAACAAACGCACGCATATCTGCAACAAACACACACGCATGTCTGCAACAAACACGCACACGCATGTCTGCAACAAACACACACGCATGTCTTCAAAAACACACACACGCATGTCTGCAACAAACACACACGCATGTCTTCATAAACACACACACGCATGTCTTCATAAACACACACACGCATGTCTGCAACAAACACACACATGTGTCTATAACAAATACACACAAGCGTGTAACAAACACACTCATCTCTATAAGAAACAAACAGCTCTATTCAAACACACGCAACTCTAGCCAAACACCACATGTCTATAACAAACACACGTAGCTTTATAACAAACATGCACACACAGCTATATAACAAACATGCACATATTTATAACAAACACATACAGCTTTATAACAAACACACAGCTCTATAACAAACACACAGCTCTATCACAAACAAAGAATTACAAAGACAGTCTAAGCACTGACGTTGATCAGCATGATATATGTCAGTATGTCATTTCTTGTACAGAATTTCAGAGCCAAATACTTGTAATTTTCAACAGCATCATTGTAATGATTTGAGGACGTTCTTCACATAACTCATTATTTTTCTTTCAGACTTCATGCGTGTGTAATTTTTGTACAAGGTAAAATTTGTTCATATGAAAAAAAAAAAATGAAAAAAAAATGATGTAGATTCTATATGCAAATATGCTGATTGTGCACTATTTTCCAGCGCCTCCGTGCAGCCCCCGAGGAAGTGAATGTAAGAATGGAGGATGGTGCGACACTTCAACATTCCCCTACAAGTGCACCTGTCTTGCAGGTTTCACTGGAACCACGTGTCGTAAGTCACTTGCTACATTCTGCTCAAAATCCGGACCGCCTCCGTGGTCTAGTGGTAGAGCGTCCGCCCGGAGAGCGGAAAGTCCGGGGTTCGATCCCCGACCGCGTCATACCAAAAGACGATAAAAGATGGTGCTTGTTGTTACCCTGTCTGGCGCTCGGCATTAAGGGGCTAAAACAAAGACTGGTCGACTCGGAGTCAGTATACTGTGTCTGAGTGGGGTATTCATGTTAAACTGCGTCGTGGTATCTCAGTGAGCTAGCACTTTAAATCGGCATCAGTCCGGACTAGTACAAGCAGCCACACAAACACACACACACGTACATGCACGTCGCTATATAAGTGCAATAGTCTTGCACGCGACGTTAAACCCAATTTCACCTCACCTCACCTACTCAAAATCCATTCTCGAGATACGTACAAGGCAAATTGACAACGACTCATTTCATCCAAATACCTCACAAAAGTAGAAAGAATAGTTCCAAATCCCCGTTAACATCCGGGTAAGCATTGGTCTTTAGCAACCCTTGCTTGTGAAGATCCGGGTTAGAATTGGTCTTCAGCAACTTATGTTTGGTAGTCAGGGATCTGGTGGTCAGACTCGCTGACTTGGTTGATGCCTGACATCGTTTCCCAATTGCATGGATCTATGCTCATGATGTCAATCACTGAATTGTCTGGTCCAGACTCGATTATTTATAGATCGCTGTCAAGCAGCTGGAATATTGCTGAGTGCTGCGTTAAACTAACAAACAAACAAATCGTACCCCTAATGCATGGAACGATGCTCATGATGTCAACCACTGGATTGTCTGATCCAGACTCGGTTATTTACAGATCGCTGTCATATAAATGGAATATTGCCGAGTATTGCGTTAAACAATAAACAAACATTACTGTTTACGAAACAAATTTTGATTCAATGCATGATTTGATTGTTACTAAAAACATGCATGTTATTCGTTTCTTTCAGTCACGTGGTCATGGTCAAGTGGCAGTCACGTGACAATCTTCCTGGGCCCCCTCGTCGTCTCTGCATTGTCGAGTCTGTTCTTGGCGCAGTTCTAATGGCCGCACACCTTAAACAATGGAATGGTCAACTGACTATCTAAGTTTCTGAAAATATCCACTGTAAGGTATATTTTGGGCCGATTCTTTTCGTCCTTTATGCCAAGCTGGTGGGTCGACTGAAAATTCGCGTCGATCATGAACTTCTTGCTGGAAGTACAGCTTTCATCAAGCATGAAATACCTCAGGGTCCGTCTGGCGTTACTCTCCGTATGGAACAGCAGGTTATAACCATCGTCAAGAAATGCTACTTCTATCTGAGAAATGTGTGAAGCCCATTTCTGGTGTGGCCCGCCGTGATATTGCTGAAATATTGCTAAAAGCGGCGTAAAACCAAACTCACTCACTCACTCTATCTGAGAAACAAAGGCAGCTATCTGAATCTTCTCAGTGATACATCTGCAGCAGCGCTAAGATCGCTCGTTCTGGCAAGGAAAGAGATAGAGTGTGTGTGGTTTCACGCCAAATTTAGCAATAATCCAGCAATATCACGGCGGGGCACACCAGAAATGGGCTCAAACTGCAGCACCCATGTCGGAATCGAACCTGGGTCTTCCGCTTGACGAGCGAACGCTTTAACCACTTGGCTACCCTATTGTCCCTTCTGGCGAGGAGCATCAGCAGAGCAAGTACGCCATCTTTTGAAGATCCAGAACAATACTGCTCGCATTGTGACCAGAACACTCTACTGGTAAAGGACCTTAACTGGCTTCCTTTGCAAACAAGGAGTCGACTTCAAAGTGCTGATCTCACTTATCAATGTGTGAATGGCATAGTGTCTAGATGTCTAAACTAGCGAATGAGTACTACCCAGCTAGATCTCTTAAGACCCGTGAAGATCCGGGGTAGAATAGGTCTTCAGCAATCCATGCTTGCCGTAACAGGCGACTATGCTTGTCGTAAAAGGCGACTAACGGATCATCATGCTCGTTTACTTGGTTGATGCATGTCATCGTACCCCAAATGCATGGCTCGATGCTCATGATGTCAATCCCTGGATTGTCTGGTCCAGACTCGATTATTTACAGACCGACGTCATATAGCTTGAATATTGCTGTGAGCAGCGTTAAACGACACACAAACAAACACGACTTCGACTTCGAAGTGTTGTATCTCACTTATCAATGTGTGAATGGCATAGTATCGAGATATCTAACCTAGCGAATGAGTACCACCCAGCAAGATCTCTTAAGTCAAGTTCTCAACACGAGCTTGTTCCGGAGTCCAAATTAAAACATTTGGATGTTGGTCATTCGCTCACAACATTGGACGAATGAGAGGAATGCACATATGTATGGCCCTTCTGTTCATCTGTCTGGCACTCCCAAAGGAGTTAGAACAATGACCATAACATGAAACTCGTATTACCCCCACCCTACAATAAACAGATACATTGTATGCATTTGTTTGTTATGAAGAGAATAATACATTTATGCCAATAGGTATCGTCCTGTGATCCAGCCTTGCCTCTGGAAACTTAGATCCTGGATCATAACATGGAAACGGTTCAGATGTTTATGCTACATTTGTATCTAGAGAAGTACACGTTCATGCTGTCGGATTTGCAATCCACCTATTTTAAATGTTGACAGTCAAGATTACAAAATATTTTCAGTATTAAATACATGTACATTGCAAATGTATAATTTGTCATGACTGCGTAAATATCCAGGTGAGCGATACAGGCCCTGTGGGCTTCTTGTTATTATTATTGTTGTTGTTGTTGTATTCACCTATTCTATTTTAAATGTTGACAGTCAAGATAACGAAATATTTGCAGTATTATATACATGTACATTGCAAATGTATAATTTGTCATGATTGCGTAAATATCCAGGTGAGCGATACAGGCCCTATGGGCCTCTTGTTGTTATTGTTGTTGTTGTGTTTGTTGTTTGTTGTTGTTGTGTTGTTGTCGTCGTCATCATTTGTTTCGATGTCCGTTCTGATGGTCACCAAATTAGAGACAACCATGGCAACACTTGTAATTGGTGTATTGTTTCTGTTCTGATCCCACCCTGTTTATTAAGAAAGAAACTGCTCCTCATCTGTAAATTAGCCTGATGATGTGTAGAGTTACTGACGTAAGTGGGTTGTTCCACTGAAATAAAGGATACGGTTCAAGACAAACGGCATGTTTGTGGTATTTTGTATCATATTGGACTTTGGGAGATGGGTAGCCAACTCGTCCAAGGCGCCGTAATTAGCTGTGCAGAGTTACGTCCCTTGGGCACGCCAAAAACCCGATTCACACAGATTATGTTTCTAAGTTTATCAGCACAATACCGTGCTCGTGGGTTTCACCAAAATGTTTGTTTGTATGGCATCATGAGCATCGATCTACGGGATCAATTGGGATACGATGACATGCGAGCCTGACCACCCGATCCTGTTAGTCGACTCTTACGGCAAGCATGGGTTGGCTGAAGGCCTATTCTACCTCGGATCTTCACGGGTCTTCGCCAACATGGTTTTCTCTCCAGATGAAGTTGACAAGCCGTGATATAACGGCATGGAATACTGTTCAAACCGGTTTCAAACCAATAACTCCTGCATTCATATTGCACTTGGGGCCGTCGGGTAGCCTTGTGGTTAAAGCGTTCGCTCGTCACGCCGAAGACCCGGGTTCGATTCCCGACATGGGTACAATGGGTGAAGCCCATTTCTGGTGACCCCCGCCCTGATATTGCTGGAATATTGCTAAAAGCGGCGTAAAACCATACTCACTCACTCACGTTGCACCTAACGTCGCTTTCAACAGTATGTCACCGCGTGTCCGCTTAATATGGGAGTAAAATCCGAATTGATTAAAGTATAAGTGGTTTCCTAATTTATCGGTCCACCAAGGGGTTCTAGCCAGCGATCACTGGATTCTGGCATGCCAAGGGGAGGCAACTCATCTAAATACAGCGACATGTGTATACGACCCGTGAAGATTCAGGGTTGAATAGGTCTCCAGTAACCCATGCTTGCTGTAAAAGGGACTAACGGGATTGGGTGATCAGGCTCGCTGACCTGGTTGATGCATGTCATCGTATCCCAATTGAATGGATCGATGCTTATGAAGTCAACCATTGGATTGTCTGGTCCAGACTCGATTATTTACAGACCGCTGTCATATAGCTGGAATATTGCTGAGTGCTGCTTGAAACAACAAACAAACAAACATGTGAACATCATCATCACGTCGATGTGATGTAATCATCCGCATTATCCGGACTCGCGAAATGTGGGTTTTCATCGAAGTACCACGGGGTAAATCGAACCCAGACCTTCGGCGTGAAAAGCGAACGCTTTAACCATTAAGCTACCCCACCACACCAGATATGTCAGTCAGTAACCGTTGATAAACTGCCGGGAAGTTTAGTTCAGTACAGATGCTGGGAAGCAAGGTTTGAACCCACGATATGGAGTTCCCATGTAATACATCTTTAATCCATACTAATCAGTAAAACACCGTCGCCATTCTGGCGAGTCCTAAAAGCGATATTTATCATAACGGATTGGATACAGAGCGCATTGGATAATCGAATATGTGTGGAATTTTTCAGCGACGAATTAATATTCCTCCGAACGCAATCATCCGTTGTTTTTTTTCCATTTTGAAACAAGCCATTGCCTGCGTCTTGTGCAATGAGTCTAGCGCAATATAAGTGGTAATACCAAGGTTCCGTCCGTCCGTCCGTCCGAAAACTTTGTCCGCGCGATTTCTCTTAAACTATTCAGTGGATTCATCTCAAACTTAGTACATATAATCTGTGTCATATGGAGGGGTGCAGTCAAAAGAAGAAAAAATGTTTTTATTAATTTTTCATTTTTTTAATGAATTTTTCAAACCCTAACGTCCGTCCGAAAACTTTGTCCGCGCGATTTCTCTTAAACTATTCAGTGGATTCATCTCAAACTTAGTACATATTATTCTTTGTCATATGGAGGGGTGCAGTCAAAAGAAAGAAATTGTTTTTATTAATTTTCCATTTTTTAATGATTTTTTTCAAACCCTAACCCTATCCTCGCTATTTAATTTGAAACTACTGACACACTAGGCGGGTCGGGGGTATTAGTGAGCCACGCTCACGTTTTTTTCTTGTTTTATAATTAGTGCCTTATCTTGACATGTAACAAGAATGAATCTTGTCCCGATGTGCAATCATCGTGTTTACAAATGTTCATTCTAAAACAAGGGAGAAACATACTGTATTAAAGTGGGATATAATGTGCAAGTATTGACGCGGATACCAATAACACGATCTAGTAGGTACACAAGTATGTCTGCAGAATGAAGCATGTACATAATAGTATGCAGAAACATTGAAGCACGCATGTGCCCCATTCGTCACCACTCGCCCCTTTCCGCAACCTGTAAGTAGACTCGTCCCCCTATCGATGAATGTTATGTGCGAAAATACGACAAACCAATCAGAATGCGCGTATGATTTCAAGTTCTTCGTCAAAGAATCCCTCAGAAATATGTTTTTATTTTACATATGTCTTGCATCTAAAAATATACCCAAGACACAGTTAAATGTGTTCAATCATACTGTATAATTCCAAATGTCTCGATGTGCTTTAAATTGCATCTAAAATATATATAATATATGGGGAAATAAATGTGAACCATTACGCAACGAGCTGACAATTGTTTTAGGTGTGCCCGTCTGCGCTAAGACGGAACCCGGTCGCAAAAATGGCCATGAGAGGGGCACGAGTCGCTATTCGGCTTGTCCCGGAATAACACGAGTTGGGTCATGAATGGCATGTGCCCATGCAGCCCAAAAGACATGAGACACTAAAAACATTTTTTTTAATAATTCTTTTTATTTCAATTCAGTAGACATATATCGGTAATATAGGTACATGAGGTATATAAGTGTATCAATTCATAGGATCTTAAAACATGATCACGATATGCGTAATATACATATTTTGGATTAACTGATATATTATATTAGTGAGTGCGTAGGTGAGATTTTACGCCGCTTTTAGCAACATTCCAGCAATATCATGGCCGGGAACACCAGAAATGGACTTCACACATTGTACTAATAAGATGGCTGTTAATTCTTTCCATTTTCTGTCATATTTATTCATGCTATTTTTCATTTCAATTATTTTTCTATTTTACATAGATTTCAATATTTTTTATGAAGAAGAAAGTATATGGTGTTTTCTCAATGCTTGACTGTGAGTGTAGACACTTAAAACATTATAGGCACCAGGCCCGTTACCCCCCGTCAGGATAAGAGAGACTCACGCCATGACAGTCTATATGAATGATCACCATACATTCCTTGACACTGTTAATTTTCATTGAATGTAGACAGATCAGGGGATGGCAAGTTTCAAACACTATATTACCATGTACTATGAACGCCACTAAATAAAAATGTGAGGTGAGGTGAAATGGGGTTTAACGTCGCGTCCAAGATTATTGCACTTATATAGCGACGTGCATGTACGTGTGTGTGTTTGTGTGGCTGCTTGTACTAGCCCGGACTGATGCCGATTTATAGTGCTAGCTCACTGAGATACCATATGCCCAGTTTAACATGAATACCCCACTCAGGCACAATATACTGACTCCGAGCCGACCAGTCCTTGTTTTAGCCCCTTAATGCCGAGCGCCAGACAGGGTATCAACAAGTACCATCTTTTAACGTTTTTTGTTATGACGCGGCCGGGGATCGAACCCCGGACCTTCCGCTCTCCGGGCGGACGCTCTACCACTAGACCACGGAGGCGGTCTAAATAAAAATGTAATACAGATATAGACTCATCTTATACTACTTAGATTTCCTTACAACCTTATTTTATACTTCAGTTGTTAATCATTATCAGATATCAACAGTACATTCACACAATTAACACAATGTTTAAGCTACAGCCTTCGTTTATGTGCTATGGAAAAAAAAAAAGTTGAAAAATAGTGTACTCGCGTATTTCATAATTGATACTGAACACATCCTCCCCCGTCCATTAGTGAAACTGAGGATAAACAGCTCACACACTCATGTGTTAGAAGATTACATTTCCTGAGGTAATGCGCAGTGACTTATTACATTAAACAGATGAAATTCCTAAATATCATTTACTTTAACTAATACGCCATGCGTATATATGCATGTGTAGAGCATATAGGATTTGAGGTGATGAAAATATCAACTTCGTCAGGTCACTCGCATGATGAAATAAACATGTTATTGGAGAGAATCGACCCTCACCATTGAAAATAATGGCTCTGTGAATAAGCCCCCTTATGCCATGAAATTCCTTCCTGCGGACCTGTGTATGGCTGTATGGTAGGAGGCGAGACCCGACAACAGATAGTGTCGTCCGTTTCGAGTGAAAGAGCAGTCTCGATGTCCCATGTCATCAATGGCACTGATAAAGAATCTCCACGAGAGACAAGTCAAAAGACAAAACTGAAAAGCATATTTATTGATATATAGCCTAAACATGTAAACTTGGTTTCGTAGCAAATACTCTGCATAATTGTAGATGTTAGCCAATGGGGTGAGAGGGGATGAACATTTCTCCTTGTGAAAATTTGCTGATAAGAAAATAATCGATGTGAAAAAGTGTTTGTGGTGTGATATGGGGTGTTGTGGGGCGGTTTAGGGTGTTTTTCCTACGGGCCTCGAGTAACAGAAACATAACGAAAGAAAAAACATTTCTACTAGATTCTGTTTACTCTGGGTGTCTTACTATTTTCTCCAAACGCGCAGGTCCTTTATTCCACGTCTTTGTTAAAATATCACTGAAAGAGTCGTAAAATCCTTTTCATCTCGCCACGAACTTCCGTATCACAGCTGAAGGGACTTGGCCTTGTCCGGATAACCGGACTTCGCGCATGCGCAAATGAAAGGCGGTTTGTTTGGATGTCATGGCGGGCACTTCCGCAAATAACAGACGACGTGTTTTCTGGACGAATACAGGTTAAATATTACTCTATATTTGTATGATATAGCTCAAACTCGAAATATGACAGTTACAGTTTTAAACGTACACTACTGGAATATATTTTATCATGCTAGTCATTTATACATTTACCATGACAGCAGCCAATGTGTCAAACTTCAAGTTTGGACATGACAGTGGCAGACGAAATATGATCACATGTCCGATTTGATATTCGACTAAAACTATTATATCTAGAAAACGAAGTGACATTCATTAAATCTGAAACAGTGAAACATTTCGGATTTTATGACAGTTAATATTTATCGGGTAACAATGTTGTAAATATTTTCTTTTTGAAGAAGAACAAATTTCAGAAATAGGCCTGACCAGTTCTAACGTGTAAATATATTCGTCCCCGTTGCATAGTCCATTATTTGTTCCTGTGGAATGTGTGCTTTGTCATAAGACAGACCTACATTTCCCTTGGTTATGTCTGGGCTATAATATCAAGGTTAGGATTATCGTTATCCTGAATAGATTATCTGTGGAGTTTACGAGCACTAAGCATGCTAAGGGAGTATTCAGTAAGACCATTAGGTTATGGTACCACCATTCATTGTTTATCATCATCTGTTCGACAGACTTCTATTTGTTGCCAAAGAAATAAGCAGACCCATGTATGAATTAAGATATATTCTTAATACTATTAGTATTACTGCTGTAGACATGGCCACTATTCTGTTAGTCCGAGCCTCATGAAAATCCAGAGTCTAGGCTAGTTATCTATATCTGAATAAATTAATACATTGTCGAGTTCCCTATTCCCGAATGACACCTATTTAAGAAAATCTGTATTTGATAGAGATTTGTCGTGTTATAACGAGGTGTGACATCATCAAAGTTGCCGACTTGAGAGTGCACATGTTTGGAATGTCAACATTTGGTTCATGTGAAGTACTGTACACCTGTCACTCAGAACATTCCGTCGTCCATCAGAATTTGGGTGCCCGTGTCATGATGAAAAGGAAGAATATAATAGTGTGAACACTGTAATGGGACAAATATTCATATTTTGTGTATAGGTTTCCAACTTCCAATTTCATTTTGATTTTTGATGCCAACCTGCAAGAATTATGTTGAGAATTGTGCGTCTAAACATGTCTGTTCACTCATGGAAACCCTGCTGATTACCAAAACATGTAGGTGTTAAAAAATAGGGGACGTTTTTTAAGGGAAAAATTAATTTTAAAGAAAAATAATCAATGATGAAAGATACCAATAGTTTTTAGACTCGACCCAGTTTGGGCAATAAGTAATACATTACACTGACAAAAGTGTCTTGTGCAAGTTTTGACATACCAAACTTTCTGCTAGATCACTCACGTGTGAGAGTTTCCAGAAGTATACCATGAAGGAAGATGGGTACATTGCTGCTGATGAAGCACTTTCACATACTTGCCCTGTATCATTAAACTTTTAAAGACAACCCAATACTGAAGTAGAACATTTCTGGGAAAAATATCTTGCTGAGAAGACTTTACATTTGCATCCAACTGACACTTTTTTTTATCAATTTGAAGTGAAAGAGAAAACAGCGTTAGAAATTGGCACTAGTCAGAAAGTCCTTTCCACAGTGCCTAATAATTCATAAGGACTAGAAGAAATTTGCCATTATTAAGGGTTTTGCTATGTGTTCTCTTTATAAGGACTAGTGGACTAAAACAGTTAGTTTCTATCGCTGGAAAACAAGCCCATGAAATATGCAGGAGTTATGGTTATTGTTATGGAAAGCCCTTTCACTTTATTGCCATTTTGTTTCTAATTAACAATTTAAGGCACTGATGAAACATTGATGATGTTTATGCTTCGTTTTGCAGCCATGGATTCCAGCACGGAGGATTCCGATGCTTATGTTCCAGGTAGGGATGGGTATTGGAGGTTTAAAATGTATCACAATATTTGCAATGCACATGGCCGTATTGCGATACCTATCATGATATATTGTATAATTCTAAATTTTTAATTCAGAAGCAATCTGATACATTAAGGTATGAACGGAAGTTCATAAATGGAACAAAACAAGATGCTGGTTCAACATATTGTTTACTCATTTAATAAAACCACAGCCATCTTGGGGCTAAGGATGCTCGCTCCTGGACAGGGAATGCATATATGTATGATATCGTGATACATATCGGATCGTGAGTAAGGTATCGTGATACATATCGGATCGCACAGTTGGTGTATCATCCCAGCCCTACTGTAAAAGGCGCCTATGCTTCGTAAGAAGTGACTTACGGGATCAAGTGGTCATTCTCGCTGACTTGGTTGATGCATGTCATCGTATCCCAATTGCGTGGATCTTTCCTCATGATGTCACTGGATTGTGTGGTCCAGACATGATAATTTACAGACCGCCGACATATAGCTGGAATATATTGCTGAGTATGGCGTTAAACAAGAAACAAACAAGCAAATCTTTAGTGAGGCTTGTGGGGGTGAAAGCATATATTATCATGATATATGATTGTGTATCATCACAGTAATTACAACCATTTGAATAACAGATAAACCATATGTTGACTCATATGAAATCACACAGTCAACATGATGGTCGTTGAGTTGATCACCTCTCGGGGCTCCCCTCACTGAACCGAGTTTGAAGCTGGATTTTCAATTGACTACAAATGTTTCTAACCTGGTGATATCTGTGTATTTTGATGCTAGCAGGGGAGGGGCTAGATACATTTTACACACTCGTAATAAAAATAGTGTCTCACGGGGACTCGTGTAGTATTCTATATTTGTAACCAAATACTTTTGAGTCTAATAGTCTGAACATGTATTTTGGCGTTATTTTCAGGAGGGTTAAGTCTCACATATGGACTTGAATAAGCTGATCATAGAAATCTTAGATCAGACATGCGCTTTAGACAAGTGGCTAAAGTCTCAGAATGCTTTTTCACTGTTCCTCTTTTTAGTTTCTGTCAATATTACAATTTTTCAGGGTTGTCCAAGCCAGGAAACATGCGTCAGAGGGTCAAAGGTCGAAAAACTCCTGAGGTGAAGGCCAACATATCGTTGGATCGACCAGCAGTGGAAGACCTGCCCCCTGGGACAAATATCCTGCTTCATGATGTGAGAAAGTACACTTTTATTAAAAAAAAATCAGAAATACGCTCCTACGCATTTAAAATGAGATTTAACAACAAACAAACAAACAAACAGACACGTGTATATGCATTGTGTTGTTTCCAGCTGTCCCAGAGTCTTGATACCCACTCACAACGTCGCCATCAGAGGAAGGCTTCCTTCAAGGATCTTAGAATGGAAGACAAGAAGAGGGTGGCGAACCTCATCAAAGAGCTGGCAAAGTAAGTATGCTGAATTCCTTAGGACCAAGGTCCCCTTTCCACAAAGCAATCTTAGTGCTTCAACCATCCTAAGTCTATGTTAAAGTATGGGAGTTACTGTCGTCTTAGTGCTACGGTCATTTTGTGGAATGGAAGTCAACGTGGAAGGATAGTCTGGGCTCACGTATCAATAAAGCAAATAGAAAGAGAGAGGGAGGAAAATACCGGGAAATACTTCAATTCTTCTAATAACCTGTAGATCTGAAAACACATATTTGTCTTCTATGAAAAGAACCCATGGGGGTTCTGAGAAGGTCTAGGGGATTCTGAGAAGGTCCAGGGAAATTATGAGGTCCACAAGGTTCTGAGAAGGTCAATGGGAATTCTGGAAAGGTTTCTGCAGATTCTGAGAAGGTCCATGGGGATTCTGAGAGGGTCCATGGGGATTCTGAAAAGGTCCATGGGGATTCTGAGAGGGTCAATGGGAATTCTGAGAAGGTCTTTGGGGATTCTGAGAAGGTCCATGGGACTCTGAGAAGGTCCATGGGGATTCTGAGAGGGTCCATGGGGATTCTGAGAAGGTCCATGGGGATTCTGAGATGGTCCATGGGGATTCTGGGGATTCTGAAAAGGTCCATGGGGATTCTGAGAAGGTCCATGGGAATTCTGAGAAGGTCTTTGGGGATTCCGAAAAGGTCCATGGGACTCTGAGAAGGTCCATGGGACTCTGAGAAGGTCTTTGGGGATTCTGAGAAGGTCCATGGGACTCTGAGAAGGTACATGGGGATTCTGAGAGGGTCCATGGAGATTCTGAGAAGGTCCATGGGGATTCTGAGAGGATCCATGGGAATTCTGAAAAGGTCTCTGCAGATTCTGAGAAGGCCCATGGGGATTCTGAGAAGGTCCACGGGGGTTCTGAGAAGGACCATGGGGATTCTGCTTGGTGACTTGGCTGATTGTGTGTCATATTGTGCCTTCTTGAAATAGATAATTAAGGATCCCCATGCAGAAAGTAAGCATGAAAGTTGAGGGTCTTTTTCATTGCCTTAATGTTAAATGTTAAAGAGTTAGAGTGTCCCTCGATTCAAATACTGTAGAAGCAATCCCTAGGACCCCACTTAATTTTGAACACCGATTTGAAGTTTTGATAGCATTATCATGATCTTGTGTTTCTCATCGCAGGGCAGGGGATGAGAAAGAGAAGGTCTTGTCCCAGCTGCACGAGGAGCGAGAACAGTATGATCAGCAGATTCTGCAGCTGGTAGCCCAGCAGGAGGAAGTGCTCAAGGAGAAGGAAGGTAAAGTCTGGGCACAAATTCATGGGGTCTTTGTCGTAACCCTTCTCTTGATAAGAGGGGCGGTTGGGTAGCCTAGTGGTTAAAGCGTTCGCTCGTCATGCTGAAGACCCGGGTTCGAATCCCGACATGGGTACAATGTGTGAAGCCCATTTCTGGTGTCCCCCGCTGTGATGTTGCTGGAATATTGCTAAAAGCGGCGTAAAACCATACTCACTCACTCACTCTTGATAAGAGTTTTGTAAATCTAAGTGGTCCCTAGATTCAAATACTATTTGAGCAACCTCAATTACCCCATTTCCCCCTTTATTTTGAACACTTTATGCTTCCATGGCGCCTCTATGCCATGTACAGGAGATTTGGTTGTAAGTGTCCTTCAAGAAGTGCTGTGGCTGTTTCAGATGTCCACGTGAAGTTGTTCGAGACCCAGCAGCTGTTGACCAAGTACCAGGAGCAGATAATTGAGGACCACAAGCACAGGAAGCACAAGGTGAGATACACATAGAAGGGCCAGACCCGTGAAGATCCGGGGTAGAATAGGTCTCCAGCAACCCATGCTTGCCGTAAAAGGCGACTATGCTTGTCGTAAAAGGCGACTAACGGGATTGGGTGGTCAGGCTCGCTGACTTGGTTGATGCAAGTCATCGATCCCAATTGCGTGGATCGATGATGATGATATCAATCACTGGATTGTCTGGTCCAGACTCGATTATTTACAGACCGCCGTCATATAGCTGGAGTATTGCTGAGTGCGGCGTAAAACAACCAACCAACCATAGAAGGACCAGAATACAGGAAAATATGCTGGGCTTCATAGAAAGAATATGTAACATTTCCTATAGTATACATTCAGTTTACTCACGTTTCTATTTCAGTCTTAAACAAGGCCTGCCACAGAGCATGTACTGATGTAGATGTTATTGCTATTATCTCCATGCTGATGTTACCAAAGCTGATAGTACAAATATATATCTACAATAAACATGGCCCAGTAGTCGACGGCGCCAAATTTCACTGTGCAGAGTTGTGTCCCTTGGGAGTGCCAGAAACCTGTTATGAGGGTTCAAATCCAGAAAAGTCCAGATTATGTTTGTTGATTTTTCAGCCCATTCCTCCGACATCCAGCTGGCATGCTGTGATATCACTGAGCTACTGTTCAGAGCCACCTCATATCCGACTCACTCACTCTTACCACAAATCTCTCTCTCACAAACTTATATGATAGTTAGAAATCTGTCCACAGACAACACCTCCGGTGGAGGACAATCGCCACTCGACACCACAGAGCTTGGGAGCTGAGGTGGATACAGATAGTGTCTAACATAACTCACGTTTACAATGTCTCTCTCACAAACTTATCTGATAGTTAAATCTGTCAACAGACACCTCCGGTGGAGGACAGTCGCCGCTCAACACCTCAGAGCTGGAGAGACATGGACACTGATAGTGTCTGCCATAACTCATGTGTACAATGTCTCTCTTACAAACCTATATCATAGTTAGAAATCTGTCCACAGACACCTCCAGTGGAGGACAATCACCGCTCAACTCCACAGAGCTGGAGAGACGTGGACACTGACAGTGAGGTAGGACAGTACCAGGTATTCCATAGTTCAAAATACCATGATAGTCAGGTGTCAGTGTCAAAACCAGTGTTTGAAATGAACAATGAAAGACATCAGTGTTATGAGTGCAGTGCAGTTTTCCAAATCAATCATGGAAGTTAGTGTTACAACCAGTGTCGAAGGTAAGGGGTCCTTATTGTCACCCTAATGTTAAAAGTAAAATACTTAGTGGGTCCATAATTTCAAATACTGTAATGACAAGCCTCAAGGAACTCAGGACCCCATTTGTTTTCGAACACTGATAACCCGGGTGTCAAACCGTCATGATTCATATGGTCCCTTTAGGAGAACATCTAGAGGACCTCCCTTAATATCGAACAACACAGGGGCGGTCGGGTAGCCTAGTGGTTAAAGCGTTTGCTCATCATGCCGAAGACCCAGGTTCGATTCCCGACATGGGTACAATGTGTGAAGCCCATTTCTGGTATCCCCCGCCGTGATATTGCTGGAATGTTACTAAAAGTGGCGTAAAACCATACTCACTCACTCGAACAACACATTATTTTCTCACCAAACTGGTAGACTAGAGTAATTGTACTTTTTTTATGTTCATTTATAGATAATCTTAAGAGGTTCACTTATCTACTTTTTTCTACGACTACACAGTGTTACTGGTATACTGCAATAAGCTTTTCAAATGATTTGTATTGCAATAAATTATCTGTGTTGTGGTATATTTGGTAAAAAATATATCACAAATGTCGTTATTGGTATTGTTTAAACTAAAAAATTCATTCACAAATGATGTTTACCTTTGAAATTGATCAATCTCATTAAAATGAGATCTCTCGCTAGTGCTAAACAAATTTCTCAGGACCTCCCAGTGACTAACAAGAAGTCAACATTGGCCAGTCATTCAGGGATTGGGTCAGAAGTGACCATCGGGAATCTGGAGAAAGTACTCGGATAATTGCTATCTTTATCAAAAGAATGGTCTAATATGCTGAAAACCAGTGTCTATCTGTGACATAGCTAAAGCATTTTACAACTTTTGGCTACTTTTGAGATATAAATTGCGAAACAATTTATCGAGGACACTAGCCTGGTGTTATCAGTTTCAATACCTGTGCTTGTAGACCTCGGTAGGTCTTGGATCCTTTCCCCAAATTAAAACAGAGGGATTTGGCCAAAATGTGTCAGAATTGTTACCTTGTTACCTTTGTCGCTGTGTGTGCATCTGACTGCACTTCGTAACATTATGACAGGACAGGCAGACTCTAAGTAAACGTGACTTGTCGTTGTTTATCATACAATAAAACACTGCAGGGAAAATAAACCACTAAGGGATGTGTTCCTAGTGGTTTAATCTCCCTGCAGTGTTATGATAAACAACTCCCCCTCTTTCTTTGATATTGTAAAACATATCTTGGGGCTAATACACTCCTACTTTTTTCACATCTAGGAGTGTTTCAAACTGAGACCAAAGCCTGTGAGGGACATGCATGTGGACAACCAAGAAGTGCCCACACAAAGGGGGGACCCAGCACTCCCCCCTGACCCCCACAGGCCGTACACCTCCCTCATTGACCAGGAGATAGCTCTGCACAGACAGCAGGAGAACCGGCCACATGGCATGCAGCATGAAGCCCTACCTAGCACTAGGGAATATAGGCCTGTAGCTCAGGGTGGGGCATACATGCCTGTATCAATGAAGCAGGAGTATAGACCAGTACGGGATATAGAATACAGACCAATGTCACATGGGGAATATGGACCTGTTTCACATGGGGAATATGGACCTGTTTCACATGGGGAATACAGACCTGTTTCACATGGGGAGTATGGACCTGTGTCTCATGGAGAATACAATGTTATGAAACATGGTCCTGTTGCTAATTTGCCCAATGGTAGACCGAGAAACGGGAAGAAAAGTTCCAGGAAGATGTTGGGGCCTCTTCGGGAACCGATCATGTCCAGTACCCAGAAAAGTTCGCAGATTTTTGACGAGATGTCTTTCAACTCTTTGCCAACTATTGCCAGCGAAAACTATCAGCCTCTTCCTCTAGATGATAGTCCACGTACGACATTTGCCTTAAGCGGACATAATGGTTTCCATGATAACCAACCAGATAACCGAAATAGGAATCGTGTTGGTTTTGTGGATCACCCTGAAGATTTAGACAGTGCAAGGGTTCACTCTCCAGTGTTGGAGGTGGAGAAGAATGTGGCTGGAGACCGCGAGTTCATGGAGTATTACAAGAAACTGACTCCGGCAGAGAGGAAACGAGAGTTGCTGCGACAACGTGCAGCGTTGTTGGAGGAACAAATTCGACTTAAACACGTTTTAGTGGAACAAGAAACTCAGCTCCGGGAAAAACAGGTGCAGTTGAATCACAGACAGCAACAACAACTGCAGGAAAAAGAATTTCATTTCAAGCCTGTTTTGACCGACATTGATGACCAAAATATCCAAAGTAGACTTGGTGATGTGAACTTTGTGAAGGGCACAAGGAATGGTCAGACAGACAGACACAGTGGACAGCCGAGGTCAGTGACAGAGACTGTGGCGTCGGGGAACAGAGGCATAGAGGATCTGGCCAAGAGACTGGAGTACTCTGGGTTGTCCCTCTCTCGGTCTAACAGTGGCAGTGGTGAGAATACAGAACTATTGAACTTGTTGCCAGTCATTGGGGAATATATTTAGTTCTAAGCCATTTCCAGACCACGGTTGGGATACAGGCGACCCAGTCGCTTAAGGTGCCTCAATTCGCTGTGCAGGGTTGCATCCCTTGGGCAAGCCAGAAATCGATGATTGTGGGTTCGAATCCTGGTTTGCCCTGCGGTTTGTCAGCACCATACCAGTGGTAAACATCTGAGACCTGCCTCACTTCTGTCTTTCCTCCCACAAGTTGTGACATGCATAACTGGAATACTGTTAAAAAAACAACATACTCACTCACTCTAAGCCATGTTGGTATGATGTTAGAGGGAGTGAGTTTGGTTTAAAGTTTGTTTTATGCTGCTTTGAACAGTATTTCAGTCATAGTGCAGAGCATGGCAACTAAATGTGGCAGGAAAGCCCAAAGTGATGCAGGTCTAGGACGTTTGCCACTTTTGTGAAACCCACAACCACAGGTATGGTGCTGACAATCCGAGAATCCGACGCAACTCTGAACAACGAATTGCCTCTCACGACCCCATACTAAGTGATAGATGCTCATGATATTAATCACTGGATTGTCTGGTCCAGACTCGATTATTTACAGACCGCCTTCATATAGCTGGAGTGCGGCGTTAAACAACAGCAAACAAACCAACCTTACTAAGTTGCCGGGGCAGTCTGGTAGGTGAGGCTTATGCGGATCCAATTTCCAACTTAATTAGTTGCTCACTCAGAATCATATTAAGCCAGCAAATTAAATGTTCTCCAAGTAATGAAATATTTGCTATGCATTGAATTTAACACATTTCATTTGTTTTTTTTGTTCTGTTTATCAAATTCACCTGGCAAATAATCGACAGTGTACTTTGGGGAAATCTTTAATCATGTTAATCACAAAATTATCAATTTCATTCTACCCCACTGCAGCGGCAGCTGAATTGTTAATAAGTAAGGGGCTTCGATGTGATGCAAGCAGGGAAGAAAATTTGTTCTGTATGTTGTGTATTTGCAATTACATTATTTAGAGAAATGTTTGCTCATGTGCCTCATAAAAAAAAAGCTTTTGAGAAGGTTGTGCATAAGCTCTGATTTTGACACAAATATTGATCTCTGCAAGGCTTAGAACTGAATTTAATTTCTATTAGGACATGCAATCCGTAGCGCCGTGAAGGTACAGGCTATGTCATCGTATCCCAAATGTGTGGACCGATGCTCATGATGTCAATCACTGGATTGTCTGGTCCAAACTGGATTAAGTACAGACTGCCGTCATATAGCTGCAATATTGCTGAGTGCGGTGTTAAGCAACAAACAAACAAGATCGATGCTTACGATGTCAATCACTAAATTGTCTGGTTCAGACTTGATTATTTACATACACCATCATATAACTGGAATATTGCTTTGGTGAAATCAACAAACAAACCAAAACAAACATTATATTCCATAATTCCTGGTAGGTTATAAGTTATTATCTGTGTAATCATTTATAGTTTAATTATTATTTTGTACTTAGATATTTCAAGTCAGAAAGGCAGGACGAAGCAGATGAAGTCAGCAGGCACGTCCCCCATCAACAGTCGAGCAGGAGTGTCCATCGGAACATCACCGGTCAGACTGGACACATCAGGCCGACTCACACCAGACATCCCGGACTTGATAGACGCAGGCACAAGTGTTTCCTACAGACATATACCCAGGTGGGCAGGAACTTGATAGATGCAGGCACAAGTGTTTCCTACAGACATATACCCAGGTGGGCAGGAACTTGATAGACGCAGACACAAGTGTTTCCTACAGACATATACCCAGGTGGGCAGGAACTTGATAGATGCAGGCACAAGTGTTTCCTACAGACATATACCCAGGTGGGCAGGAACTTGATAGACGCAGACACAGGTGTTTCCTACAGACATATACCCAGGTGGGCAGGTACTTGATAGATGCAGGCACAAGTGTTTCCTACAGACATATACCCAGGTGGGCAGGAACTTGATAGATGCAGGCACAAGTGTTTCCTACAGACATATACCCAGGTGGGCAGGAACTTGATAGACGCAGACACAGGTGTTTCCTACAGACATATACCCAGGTGGGCAGGTACTTGATAGATGCAGGCACAAGTGTTTCCTACAGACATATACCCAGGTGGGCAGGAACTTGATAGATGCAGGCACAAGTGTTTCCTACAGACATATACCCAGGTGGGCAGGAACTTGATAGACGCAGACACAGGTGTTTCCTACAGACATATACCCAGGTGGGCAGGTACTTGATAGATGCAGGCACAAGTGTTTCCTACAGACATATACCCAGGTGGGCAGGAACTTTATAGACGCAGACACAGGTGTTTCCTACAGACATATACCCAGGTGGGCAGGAACTTGATAGATGCAGGCACAAGTGTTTCCTACAGACATATCATGCATATACCCAGGTGGGCAGGAACTTGATAGATGCAGGCACAAGTGTTTCCTACAGACATATACCCAGGTGGGCAGGAACTTGATAGATGCAGACACAGGTGTTCTATACAGACATATGTCTAGGTGGGCAGGAACTAGATAGATGCGGACACAGGTGTTCTATACAGACACATGTCTAGGTGGGCAGGAACTTGATAGATGCAGACACAGGTGTTTATACAGACACATATCTAGGTGGGTAGGAACTTGATAGATGCAGACACAGGTGTTCTATACAGACACATATCTAGGTGGGCAGGAACTTGATAGATGCAGACACAGGTGTTCTGTACAGACACATGTCTAGGTGGGCTGGAACTTGATAGATGCAGACACAGGTGTTCTATACAGACACATATCTAGAGGGGCAGGAACTTGATAGATGCAGACACAGGTGTTCTATACAGACACATATCTAGGTGGGCAGGAACTAAATAGATGCAGACACAGGTGTTCTGTACAGACACATATCTAGGTGGGCAGGAACTTGATAGATTCAGACACAGGTGTTCTATACAGACATATGTCTAGGTGGGCAGGAACTAGATAGATGCAGACACAGGTGTTCTATACAGACACATGTCTAGGTGGGCAGGATCTTGATAGATGCAGACACAGGTGTTTATACAGACACATATCTAGGTGGGTAGGAACTTGATAGATGCAGACACAGGTGTTCTATACAGACACATATCTAGGTGGTCAGGAACTTGATAGATGCAGACACAGGTGTTCTATACAGACACATATCTAGGTGGGAAGGAACTTGATAGATGCAGACACAGGTGTTCTATACAGACACATATCTAGGTGGGCTGGAACTTGATAGATGCAGACACAGGTGTTTCCTACAGACACATATCTAGGTGGGCAGGAACTTGATAGATTCAGACACAGGTGTTCTATACAGACACATATCTAGGTGGGCAGGAACTTGATAGATGCAGACACAGGTGTTCTATACAGACACATGTCTAGGTGGTCAGGAACTTGATAGATGCAGACACAGGTGTTCTATACAGACACATATCTAGGTGGGCAGAAACTTTATAGATGCAGACACAGGTGTTCTATACAGACACATGTCTAGGTGGGCAGGAACTTGATAGATGCAGACATAGGTGTTCTATACAGACACATATCTAGGTGGGCAGGGATTCCTACTCAGTCTCAAGAACTCAATGCTTGTCTTAGGGACCAACCTTCGATATTCTGTGTTGAGGGAAAGAGGGGCCTGCCGATATATTTTATTAAAAATAATTTGTACCAGAATATACAGATTTAAAAAATATTTTTAAAGAAAATTGTTTGGATGGATGGAGCGGTGTCCAGAAAAAAATTTTGTTTAACCCAAATTGTTCGGGTTCTCATTTCAATGAAAAAGCCATGATACATACCTCCCAAATATGAAGAAAATGGTGTCTTGAAGCCGTGATATACACCTCCCAAATATGTAGGTGACGTGGCATGACCTAAATACTGTTCGCGGCTGTATTTAACTATTCACACTCTTGGAGGAGAGCTCCACTGAGATTGCCATTCACAGGAAAGTTCAAGACAATGTGAAAAATGATTGGAATTGTTTCTACCTATCCATTAGTCATGTTAGCTGTGATTGATACTACAATACCAGGAATTTCTAGCCCTGAAGCATGTATTCCTTGATGAATAAATACTGGAATACAGTATTTGACGACCGTTGGACTTGGAATATTTAAGGACTTTTTTGTGGATTTTTTTACAATGGAATTAAAAATGAAACATGCGGCAGACTTTATGATGATGCGAGCAGTGCCTGAGAACCAAAACTAAAAAAATTTTCTGTTTCAGGTCCCCTCAACAGAGTAACCTCCCCTTGCCCTTCAACCGCCAGAGGACCAGTCCATCACACAGTAAAGGGGCTCCGTCTCCAGGGTAACACTGCCTCATCTTGGGCCAGCAACTAGATGAATAATTTTTGAATACCTCCACCTTATAGTTTTGTCACCGCAGCTTTCGTGCAAGGAGAAAAACTTACTTGACCCTTCCCTGACTAGAGATATATGGAGATAGCCAAGGCTTAAAAAAAGAAAAGAATTGGTTCTCAAGCAATGATTTTTGAAAATATAGTGTGGGTGGCTGTGGTTTGGGTTTTTTTTTGCTAATTCAAACTAGTATGTAACCCCAAATAAACAGTTGTATACCATCAACCTGGGAAAGGGATTCATTCACCTGATGAAGGAGTAAGCATATACTCCGAAACGTTGTGTTCCTCATTATATAGAAGTTGACATCCATAAATTCTCTTCCTTACATCTCATTGTTGATTTCCTTCATTTCAGTGACAAGACTCTGGCAATATTAGAACTAGTCAACTCCATTGAGAAGAACGAGGGTTCGCTAGATGGGAGTGTCCGCTGTAAGGAGGCGGACACGTCACTCAACATTCAATCCAGGGACCAGTCATTGTCTGGCAGAGAGGAACAGGCAGAGGATCTAGAAGAGAGCAAAATTCTAGAAGAAGTATTTTTCCTTAAGTGATACCTCCCTTGGGGATGAAGACACCATACAACAATAGCATGAAGTGAATTGCGTGTATGGTTGGTGGTGTAAAAGTGTAAACAATACTTGTTGCACATTGGGATCAGATTAGGATACTTACACCGACATCTGAGACTTAGACTGGAACCAGTTTGTGTTCGGTAATCGTGAAATCTCATTGAAATCAGATCTTACTTCTTGCTAACCCTAAACAGAGATCTGAGGACATCCCATTACGAGTCAACTTATATCCGACCAGTCAGATCGTCACTTACCAGATCAGGAAAGTAACAGTAAGTTTTCTGATCATGCAGCCTCCAAATGGTTCACCAGGGTAGTCCAAACAACAGAGGGGATAAATATTTGAAGCGGAAACGACTTTCCCAGCCCTTGGAAAGTACTGCCATACAATCTCATCCATCTATTAGACATTCCAGAATGTTCTTTTGTTCAGTTTTCAAAATTTGAATCGATATTTTTCCAAGGTAGTTGGGAATGGAAATTGCATGTTTGAAAATAGTACCGTAAAGTTTGAGGAAGCTGCTTACTGATTGGCCAATGTAAACTTCTTATTTGTCATTTCATTGGTCAGCCAAATTCGCGATAGGTTGTTCTGATGTGATGGGATGTCCTCAGATCGTTGTTTAGGGGTAGCCTGCACTAAGATCCAATTTCAATGAGATAGATGGTCGTGTTAGGTTTGGTGACGACCGATCGCCTGTAAAACATTTGTGTGTATGAAGGTGAATTGTGTTAAATAAGGGGGACACCCTCCATTGGTTATAACAAATCGAGGGCAAATTCTGAACTGTGTGTTTGTGTTTTTACCAAATCTTGTAATACATCTGGTGGTTGTGCTGTGTCTTGTGTCTCGTGTCTTACAGATTCAACTAACAGAAATAATGGAGAGTCATCTTGATGTTCAAGGTACTCATTGTAACTTATTTAAACTCTCGGGGCGGTCGGGTAGCCTAGTGGTTAAAGCGTTGGCTTGTCACGCCGAAAAGACCCAGGTTCGATTCCCGACATGGGTATAATGTGTGAAGCTCATTTCTGGTGTCCCCCGCCGTGAAATTGCTGGAATATTGCTAAAAGCGGCGTAAAACCTTACTCACTCACTCACTCACTCACTCACTCACTCACTCACTCACTTTTTAAACTTTCATTTGGGACATCTAACAATAAACACACAATGCCATTTAGAAAGTGTAAATGTTCTTCCAAGCTAGGACTAGGAATTGTGGGAATATGATAAATAATCACTCCCTTAATAACTACCTGTATTTATCCTATTTATATGTTTCGTGTGATTACAATAACCCTCCTTTCCAGTGCTACTGTCTCTTGCATGCAAGACATGTCCAGAGTACTCACTGAAGCATTGACTATTTAAGTCAATAACCATGACAAGCCTACTCAAGTGCAACCTCAGGGAGTGTGATGAAAGCGTCCTGTAAAATCCCCCAAGGTGATAATTATTGTCAATCGTAAATAATCAGGAAGTTTCACAGATTGGGCTATTTCGGCATTTACACAAGAAAGAATACTAAGGATGAAGGGGGAGAAGGGGCAGCCTAGGGGTCAAAGCGTCAATCGTCACGCCGAAGACCCTGGTTCAATTCCCCACATTAATATAATGTGTGAAGCCCATTTCTTGTGTCCCCAGCCGTGATATTGTTGGAATATTACTAAAGTGGCTTAAAACCTTACTCACTCACACATTCATTCAGGATGAACCATGATATATGCAAGCCGTAGAGTTTACTTATCACATCCCCATGTCAGAATGATGAGATCTGATTGGTTCACCGGATCTTGATAAAATATTGTCTCCCGCCTTGGAGGGGAATAAATTTCTTATTGCCCCCCATGGGCAATTCAGGCTGCATGTGGATTTCTGAGAGGTAGAATAAATCCCTTATACCCTGCTTCAAAGCAAAAAGACGCACCCTTTTTCCGAGTCCATGGAAGTCATGTGACATAGCGCAAGCTAACCTCAGCTCAATCGCACAGCTGTTTTCTATCAATTTTAATTTGTTTGAATTCTTTTACAATGTCATATTTAAACATGTCGGTAAGATAAATTTGTTGTAGCAAGATCACAAGGGGGTACGTGGGGTTTTATGCATTCCCCTGTTGGATTTGATGACACTCGCCTCTGGCTCATGGTTACAAACCTAACATGGGACGCATAAAACCCATGTACCCCTCGTGATCCTGATACAACTTATAATATTAATCTATCTAACAAAAGAAGGGTTTCTCTTTGGTCGGACAGAGTGTAAGAAATGCTCCAACTTAATGCGGGGTGGTCGGGTAGCCTAGTGGTTAAGGCGTTCGCTCGTCACGCCGAAGACCCGGGTTCGATTCCCGACATGGGTACAATGTGTGAAGCCCATTTCTGGTGTCCCCCGCCGTGATATTGCTGGAATATTGCTAAAAGCGGCGTAAAACCATATTCACTCACTCACTCCAACTTAACGCTAGCTATAGAGCCTAGGCTTCAGCGTTATGGCTACCAAATTCTACCAGTTCACCTCTCTGCATTTCGTGTATTTGCACCCATGAAAATGACCTCACAACTGTAACATGAAGTCTTGTTATCTGCTGGTTATCGTGTGTAGACAGACTCAAATATTTGTGTGGAAATGAAGCAGCATCATTATCGTGATTAGGCCAGGCTTTTTCGGCGGGTCCGTAATCTGAAAAATAGAAAATGCCTGGCCTTGCCTTCTTGTTGTGTGACAGTGATAAGCTGGAATGTTTCCTTCTGTGGTTACTCACGTAGGTTTAAAAAGTTAAAAGAATTGGTCCTCAGGCACTGGCTTTTGAAAATATAGTGCGGGCGTTGTTGCTGTTTTGCTTGTTCAAACTAGTATGTAACCAAATTAACAGTTGTGTACCATCAACCTGGGAAAGGGCCTCCCAACATAAACAAGCATACCAACTCCTATTACCGCAGGGTTAGAAACTAACAGTTTTTGTCCACTGGTCCTTATAATGAAAACATATAGCAAAACCCTTAAAACGGGCTAATTTCTACTAGTCCTTAGGATACCTTTACTATTGGGCAGTTTGGTAAGGACTACAGGACTAGTGCCAATTTCTAATGCTGTTACCGCCGTGACCATAACACGAGATAGATACACAGTAAAGGAGTGCTCGTGGAAAGGGAAGTAACTGCATGTTATGTTGGATCGCATTGTTTTTAAGTATTTTTATTTTCTTTATTATTATTTTTAAATGGAAATAAAAACAAAACGTACGGCAGACTTTATGAGGATGAGGGTGGTGCCTGAGAACCAAGACTCTTTTTTTTTAGCCTTAGTTCTTTTGATGCAGTTTTGTGCAGTCGAGAAATTATTGTAAATTGTTTCACTGCATGTTCATATGAAACAGATGTTAGAGAAAACTGATTACACATGAATCAAGTGCAATTCTCTTTTACCTCTCTCAAACTTGCATTTGTAATTTGAAAAGCATTATCCCGTAGGTTTTTCTAGCAGTTACAAAATATACTTGCTTTTACAAATTGATTTGATTGTATATATTTGCATGTGTGTATAGGTATATACTCACTGCCAAAAGAAACGCGTACCATAGAAACATGTAGAGAAGTAGGGACACTAAGAAGAGACGTTTCCAATGTGTACCACTTAATGACCAAACTAACAATCAGTCAAGTGTTACCACAGAGTGTCTTTATTATCACGATATGCTGCACATGATTTCCAAACTTTACACGTTAATACAAATGGTGCATCTCGAGTCAGGGATCTATGACATCACATGTGATGTGTTCATGAGCGTCAGTTCACACAACATACCAGTATGTTCGTTTGTGCATAGAACCAATCTGAAACCTCTTGAATATGAATAATCCCTTATATACTGACCAACATGTATGGTATTCACGTTTCTTTTGTTGGTGAGTATTTCAGCATCCATGACTATCACAATGGTTATACATGTACAGGCTTGGCTTGAAATCATGCAGTACATTTTTCCAGTATTGCAGTAGTATTCTTGCCACATGTCTTCCGCCAATATCTTTCAACTCCACTACCCTGAATCTGTATGGAGTTTTGTTAGAGACAGAATAAATAAGTATGTGTCTCAAGCAAAAGGCGTGGCAGGATGGTAGGCTGAGAGCCATGTGAGTTGTGGATAGACAAGTTATTGTTTTATTGTGTGAATCTGTGACTTTTGCCACTAGTCGGAAGTCAGAGTCTTGTAGAATTTTGTCTAGTAAGCTCAGCAAATAGTCTATGTAGTATCACTTATATCTACTGAAATTGGTGCTCTCAGCCAAGTTTGGGCTGGTAGTAGACACAAACGTTTTCCTCAAACTGGTTATGTTTCATGAAAAAATACAGGTCCTTTTTGAGAGTGTCCAAAAGTAGGGCTGGGACGGGTAACTCGGGTACTCGGGCTGGGTGGGTCCTGAGTAGGACCCGGGTACCCACAGGACTACCCGGACCCGTGGTTAGTCACGTGATATATTGTTTAATGACAAAAACTTATTGTAGCTCAGTGGTTACACTACAAGTCGCTAATGTTCGCATTTCTTTCTGACGATGCACGCATTCCTTTTGAATTGTGAATGTAAGTAAAAGTAAAGATGTGAGTAAAGATAAAGCTTCAGTCAACTTCAGTGAACACATGATCTGATTGTTTGATACATGTATCTAAATAGTTTTAGCCAGTGCTGCGGAAAAACAATTACCAATCAGACATTTTGTTTCCTACACTTGAGACTTGCAGTGGATACCTGGGTAGGGTCAGGTAATAGGGGGTCGGGTGCCCGGGTAGGAAATTTGGACTCGTCCCAGCCCTATTCAATAGTATTAATGCTGTCCAGTAGTATAGAGGGTGTCCTGTTATACTGAGGGTGTTCCATAGTATTAATGCTGTCCAGTAGTATAGTGGGTGTCCTGTCATACTGAGGGTGTTCCATAGTATTATTGCTGTCCAGTAGTATAGAGGGTGTCCTGTTATACTGAGGGTGTTCCATAGTATTAATGCTGTCCAGTAGTATAGAGGGTGTCCTGTCATACTGAGGGTGTTCCATAGTATTATTGCTGTCCAGTAGTATAGTGGGTGTCCTGTCATACTGAGGGTGTTCCATAGTATTATTGCTGTCCAGTAGTATAGAGGGTGTCCAGGGTGACCTGGCAGAATGGTGTTGTCTGTGATAGTCTACATGAAAACCTTTTGAGTCCACTAGCACAAACATGGCTCTTAAAATCATTATCACTAAATTTTAGTGTTGTTACGGACAATATTTAGCTGAGCTTACTAGACAAAACAGAATTTGACTAGACTCAGGCTTCTAACAAGTGGCCAAAGTCACAGACTTTGATGATTTATGCTAATAAAACCGGCTTCCATTCCTTGTGATATCACTTGTGCCAAAGTCAGCTGTTGAAGCTGTGACTGTGTAAGCCTATAGTGCATGTACAATCTTCTTTATACCTCCATGGCAGAATGATGAGTTCTGATTGGTCCATGTGATCTTGTTAAAATACTGTGTAACCCGCCTTGGAAGGTAATAAATCTGTTATACCCCGCCACAAGCAAGTTCTGAGAGGCAGAATAAATCCCTTAGACCCTGCTTCAAAGCAAAAAGCCACACGCTTCTTCCGAGTCAATGGAAGTCACGTGACGGATAACAAGTTAACCTCAGCTCAATCGCACAGCTGTTTTCTATCAACTTTGAATTTGTGTTAATTCTTTTACAATGTTAAAACATTAAAACGTGTCGGTAAGATAGATTTGTTGTAGCAGGATCACGAGGGATACATGTTTGTTTGTTTTTTCGTCCCTTGTTAGGTTTTACAACACAAGCCCCCAGCTCGTGGTATAAAACCGAACGGGGATGCATAAAACCCATAGGCTGATCTTGCTACAACTTATAGTGACCAAGCAGAATATTACCAGTGCATGTCCTGGTACAGTGTCAGTGTTCGAAATCAAGCAAGGTTCCAGGGTTCCTTGAGGTTTGCTCCTGTAGTAATTGAATCTAAGGACCCCCTAACCTGCAGTCTTAGCAGATGGGCAATGGCAAGACCCTTAGACTTTCATGCTTCAAAACAATATAAGGCCACGCCCACTACCGGACTACTGTTCCATTATACGCTGTTAATAGAATGGGCTGGGCTTGTGTTGCATGAAGTTATTATTGTTGACTTATTTATTTATGTTGAAGAACAGACTTCAATATGTTTTTGCGTTTATGGAGGTCACTTGTTGAATTGCCTCATAATTATGTGCTTACGATGTATGCTTAGCCATGGAAGTTAGTCTGTGTGAAAGTTTATGTATTTGAAATTTAGTTAGTTGATGATGCATCATGATATTAAAGCATTAAACTGTCTACCTCTTGCTATGGACAACATGCCATCACATGTACTGGTACCCTTGAAGATCCGGGTTAGAACTGATCTTCTGTTCAGTAACCCACACTTGTCGTAAGAGTCGTATAACAGGATCAGGTAGTCAGGCTCCCTGACTTGGTTGATGCATGTCATCATATCCCAATTGCGTTGATCGATGCTAATGATGTCAGTCACTGGATTGTCTGGTCCAGATTATTTACAGACCTCCGTCATATAGCTGGAATATTGCAGAGTGAGGTGCTAAACAACACACAAACAAACAAACAATCTGGCCTTGAAAAATATGCTCTTTATATTTTATACATTGCAAAATTATGTTAGCCCACCTCCTATTTTAAAATTCCTTGATCCGTTCTTGAAATTTACAATGAAAGGGAGCCATCAAGTGATACCAAAAGGTTTGAAGTCCTAAAGTCATGTGACCTGCTCATGGCATGCTATGACCTATGGGTAGAAAACATGAACACCGTTAAGATTAAGCAGCACTTGCAATGAGCACTCAATGGCTACCTGTAAAGCTCTGCATTAATTATCCCCCATGCAATCTTGCCAATATTTAGGAAGCAATCCTTTTGCAACAGACCTTTGCCCTGTTCAATAGAGTGATTTTACATCGAGGAATGCCATATGTATGATATTACCATAGAGTGTAATAACCTTTCAGCTTTGCACATGTGTATTTTTGTAATAGTATTTCTCCGTGTTGATTAGTCAGTTGAAGGAATATGATGTCAATTTGCTTCACTGCATACTGGGGATGTCACGATATGATATATAATGTGATACTTAATTCGTTGAAATTTTGCATACCGTAATAAGCGCCCCGCTCTAAAAAGCGCTGACAGCGATATTTGCTAATATAGTGGCTAGTGAACAATCCCAGTTCCTTCTGATTAAATTCTGAAAAAATATATCTGTCGTGTATAATACACACAGACTTTTCTTTAGTATCATTTCAGGCTGTCAGCATAAACCACAAAATTTACGATCTTTCAACTGTTTGGGGTTTTTTTCACCAAAATTTATTTCTAATAAGAGCCCCCTATTTCTAATTTTGAGAGCGCCCTGGGTGAATATGGTATAAATTTCATAGGGCATTAACACTATTAAAAAGGCTTGAAACTTCCTGAATATCGGGTCTCATATTTGAAACAAAAATCAATAATTTATTTCAGATACAACTGGAGTGGCAACTAAGCATTTTCTGTTTTTAAATACAATAATCCCCTGTTTGCAAAATACCTCAGATGCGTAACGGAATTAATTAATCAAATATGAATGAATAGGTCCATGTATGAAACCATACAGAATAAATATATGAATCGATACATTTAGGTGTGTATCGCGTATCAAACATTGGAGAATATTGTCCATTCATCGATGTATTGGTGAATCGTGACATCCCCATTGCATTCAATACAAGAATGACACTATTCACTGTTCATGACGTCATAAATTGGAGTTACTTCAGTGCGGAATATATGTAGTAGGGCTGGGATGGGTAACCTGGGTAGTCAGGTAAAATGGGTCATGAGGAGGACCTTGGT